CCTTATTGCCTTCCCTTCTCCTCACCACAGATGACAGACTCTTACATCTTCTTTCCTTTTCTTTTTTGGTGGTAAGGTTTTGAACTCAAGATCTTGTATAGGTAAGGGCTCTACCACTTGAGCCTCCAGCTCTTTTTTCTTCAGTTATTTTTCAGATAAGGTCTTGTACTTTAGCTCAGGCTAGCCTCAGACAAGATCCTCCTTTTTACACCTCCTACATAGCTCATGCGTGTGCATGAGCCATCACAGTTTGTTTGTTGAGATGGAGGCCTTACTACTTGCTCAGGCTGGCTTTGAACTGTAATTCTCCTGATCTTCCCAGAAGCTGGGATTATAAGTATGAGACCCTATACCTGGTTCTAAACTTTCACTTTTTTTTATATTCTCTGCTTTTACCATTCACAACATGTGTATCTATAATGTAATGACTTTCAATCTGTGACCCTGACCTCCAGACAGAAATAGATTTGTGTGTAAGTAGTAAATAATTCACAATTTGGTGGCTACTCTGACTTAGAGGGCATGCAGTCTATTTTCAGTTCCATTTCATTTTTTTTTTAGCTGTTTGCTAATGAGCATACTTCATGCAATTTGAAAGACCCTGTTATGCAAACTTAGATTGGGTTGTGGACATAGGTTGAATGACCTTCCATTTGAGCTCTTTGGGGGGGTCATAGCTGTGCATGCAGCCTGCCTTGATTTACCGTTACTTGTGAAACCCATCCTAAGACTTCCCTGCAGAGGAAATCATAGTTTGGAAGAGTTCCCTGCCATTTGGCAACCTTTGTAGGAAATAGCCAGCAGGGTGGAAAAGTTTCATCAGCTCCATTGTTTTTGCTGAGAGAGGCACACAACTAGTCTTACTTTCAGAAGCAGGGGAGAAATGAAATCTCACCTCAGCTACAGGGGGTATGTGCTTATTTTTCCTCTTTTTAGGTATAGGCTTGGTTTTGTTCTAGAATTACTTTTCCTTATCCTAATCTTTCCCTAGGAGATAGAAAAATTATTTAAAAGAAAATAAAGGTCTAAACCAGGTGCTGATAGCTCACACCTGTAAATCCTAGCTATTCAGGAGGCTGAGATCTGAGGATTATGGTTTGAAGCCAGCCTAGGCAGGAGAAAATCGGTGAGACTCAAAGTAGAGCTGTGATTCAAATGGTAGAGCATTTTAGCTTTGAGCAAAAGAAGCATAGGCATAGTACCCAGGTCCTGAGGCCAAGCCCCACTAGGGACACAAAAAAACAAAAGCAAAACTCTTCCTTCTATGGGAGGACGCTGAGACAGCACAAGGCTGTCAAGATCCCTTCGAATTTCATATTTGAATGAAATTCATTACATACCTTGGACATGGAACTGAGCTTCCATTTCCTCCTTCAGGCTTCATTATGCACCAATGACACAATGCTGGGAACAGGCTAGAACTAGAAAAGTCAGGCCTGTCACCTTTCTTGCTGGTCTCCGTTTCTCCAACTTAAAAATATTTTTTTTAGGGGCTGGGAAGGTGGCTCAGTGGTAGAGCGCTTGCCTTGCATGCATGAAGCCCTAGGTTCTATTCCTCAGCACCACATAAGCAAAAAGAAAAAAACCGGAAGTGGTGCTGTGGCTCAAGTGGTAGAGCGCTAGCCTTGAGCTGAAGAGCTGAGGGACAGCGCCCAGGCCCAGAGTTCAGGCCCCACAACTGGACCCCCCCCAAAAAAAAAATAAATAAAAATAAAAAAATATGTTTTTTTAAAATAAATGAAGACATTCATGAAAACAAGAAGCAAAGGATTGCCAGCTAATAAAGATACTCTCTCTTCAGTTCATCTCTCCTTGTTGGTTCTGTGTCATGACCAGTTTGTTTGATTGTCATGGACAATAATGGAGGAAGATCTAGAAAGAGCAGGTCTTCAAATGCCAGCAAGGAGTAGAGTAGTAGAGCCCCAACTTCCTCAGGGCGTCTGTGCATACTTACTGGCTTTGTGAAGTGCCTCAGCTGTCCCCTGATGCAAAGGTGCCATTTCAAACATTCAAGATTGTGACAGTGTTCTTGCTACTGTCACCACAGCTGTTCCCTGGAACTCTTGAAGTGGGCAGGAAGGCTGGCATCAGAGGTAGGGAAATCTGATGTGTACCTGAGCCCTGTTGGCCTATGATGGTCACAGCCAGCTGAGGAACCATGCAGATACTCTAGCTCCTAAGTTCAGGTAGAGAAAGGTGGCAGGTCTTAGGAGAGTCATGCTGTGGAGGCCTGAATTGCTTGGTTTGTTTTGTTTTAGAATGAGCTTTCCAGCTGGGGGTGGTGGCACATACCTGTAATCCTAGCACTGAGGCAGGAGGATTGTGAGTTCGAGGCCAGCCTGGGATGCATAGCAAGATCCTCTTCAAAACAAAACAAACTTTGCTTGTCCTGAGAGGTGTGGGGAACCCCCTCAATGGGGGAGAAGTAGAGGCAGAGGCAAGAGTATTGCAACTACTCACCTCAGAGTTAGTCCTAAGTGGGCTGTTCCTTAGAGTGCAAGACTAGAATACAAGGTCCCTGGTCACATGGCCTTTATTTCAGGACCAGGGACCCCCGGCCTATCAATAAGGGCACTTGACAGACAGGACTAGCCTTCCCCATGCTGACTGGAAGCTGGCTTTGGTGATGACCCAGGGATGCTGATTTATTTGGGTAAAGCTGTGCCTGAAAATTGGCAAAATACAATGGGGATCAGCTCTCTTGTCTTTTTACTCATTTCTTGTATGAACCATTCTGTCAGCTTCTCCTTCCTTAGCGCATGGCCTGCTCAGAAGAGCACTGCTAATCCAGATGCCCATTCTCACTGTCCCAAGTTCTCCAGTCCAGTTGAGGCCTCTGGCACTTTCTCATAAGGAGTACCAGCTGAGTCACTCTCATCCATAGTGTTTGTAGCCACAAGTGTTTTGCATTCTTTTGGGTTATAGAATATTTGTAATACCTTGAGGGGGCCCAAGTCTAAACACGTGATTCATTTGTGTGTCATATACACCTTATCCACGTAGCCCAAAGCTGGATTTTGTTTTTCATGGCAGAAATTTGAACTTGGGGCCTCAAACCTGCTTTGCTTTGCTTGCTTGGCTGGCACTCTACCACTTGAGTGATGCTTCTAGCCAGGCATTTTGCTGGCTAATTGGAGATGGAGTCTCAAGGAGTTTTCTACCTGGGCTGGCTTTGAACCACTGTCCTCCACACTTCAGCCTTCTTAGTAGCAAGGATTATAGACACTAAAGGTGATATGCCATATTTTCCATTTTGTGCATGAAATAGTTTGTATACTTTGAAGCATCAGAAATCAGATGTGGAAGCTCCCCTTCATAACAGTGTGTCATGGTGCCAGGTTTCACAGCAGGGGCAATGCAGCATCATGATTTTTGAATTGGAGATGGAGATGCTCACCCTGTGTTGATAGGGCCTTCCCATGAATTTACCTTTTGGGGAAAGGTAATCTGAAGGAAAGGTACAGAGAGAAAGGAAGTTCAGTTTTAATAAATGTGTATCTGCTTTGGGGTGCAGGGTTTGTGCATCTGGTGTCGTTCTGCTTTTGCATTGACTAGATAATTCTGTGCTGTTCACTTGGCAGTCAGTCATTATTTGAGGTTAGAAAAAAATTCCTTTTTTTTTTTTTTTTTGGTGGGGAGCATTGGTCATGGGACTAGAACTCAGGGCTTGGGCACTGTCCCTGAGCTCTTTCACTCAAGGCTAGTGCTTTACCACTTTGAGCCACAGCTCCATTTCTAGTTTTCTGCTGGTTAATTGGAGATAAGGGTCTCACAGGATTCCTTGCCTGGGCTGGCTTTGAACTGCAATCCTCACACCTTAGCCTCTTGAGTAGCTAGGATAGGAGTGAGCCACCGGTGTGGCTGGAGTCTTATTCTGCATCTCATTCTGGAAATGTAGCCAAGCTAGACCTACGTCATACACAGGTGTGTGTGTGTGTGTGTGTGTGCCTGTCATCAGTGCCCCTTTGCTGAGCGTCTGCTGGGCCTGTCACTAGGAGCTGGGCACAGTCCCTGGGCTAAGGTCCCACCAGGCAGTGGGGATGCCTAGGAGGTCCTTGGAAAGAAATACAGATAACTAAAATGACTAAGCTCTTTGTGAGTGCTTTTACTTGGTGCTTTGGTAATGTGGTAGATATTTTGGTGACCTTTCAAAGAAATTTGGTTTAATGCTCCTGGGTTTTTTAAGGACCCCCCCCCCCCCCCCGCACCTTGTCTGTCCCACTTCAAACAGGTTTTTAGGGGATATTTCTTTGAGTGACATGAAGTATCCATTTTTGGTGTGTGTCTGTTGGTATTGGGACTTGAACTCAGGACCTGCATACTCTCCTGTACTTGGTTTTTGTCCCTCCCCCTTACCCCCATTCTACCACTTGAGCCACAGCTCTACTTCTGGCTCTTTGGTGGTTAATTGGAAGAAACGACTCAGATTTTTCAGCTTGGGCTGGCTTCAAACTAGGATCCTCAGATCTCAGCCTCCTCAGTAGATAGTATTACAGGAGTGAGCCACCGATGTGTGGCTGAAATCCATTTGTAATTCTGTAAACTTCCAGGCTCTTGCTGGCTGGGTAGAGCTCTGCTGGTTGCATGGCTCACAGGGCTTTTCCAGAGGCTCTTTCATGGTGAACTTGGGCTCTGGTACTTTTGGGGGGACTGTTGTTTTCACGGGGGAACAGTGCAGAGATAGTTCAGAGTCCCTCTGCTACTTGGGGCCTGGTCCATGCTGGCGCTGCTGTGTGACCTCAAGTGTTTGAGTTGTTCTGTTGGTACTGAGGAGATCTGTATGGCCATGGAACAATCCCAAGGGTGTCCTCATTGGTCAGCTGGCCTCTCATGGAGCAGTGTTCCCCCAGACTTCAGCAGAGGGTGGCTGTACCAGTTAGAGTAAGTGGCCAGGGTGTGGGACTTGCATAAGTGCAGGTTATACACTAGTTGGAAAACAAAGTCATGTTCTAGCAATTCCTTTCGCTTTTTAATCTTGCTTTCTTTCTCTTCTAATGCAGGTGCCACATTTGAGGAAATCAACCAGCACTGGGACTGGCTGGAACAGAACCTCCTCCACACCTTGTCTGTTTTTGATAATAAAGATGACATTGCCAGCTTTGTCAAAGGGAAGGTGAAGGTAGGTCCCTGGAAACTGGCTTTCTGTACCCTTACCTACCCCCCCACCACCTCCACCCCCTGCCACTTCCTTCTCAGATTGTCTTAAACACTTTACATTAACTCCACATTAACTCAATGTTTTGGCTTAGTATATAAGTCTGAATGAGTTTAATGTCTTACCTGGAAGGTCTTGTAGAATTGAAGTACAACAGATTTTACTGGTGAGGATCAGACTGCATTCTCAAGTCTATTTCTTTTACAGAGGTAAAGGGCCTTTTGGTAGTGGTTTGAGAAAACTGGGATGTTGAGATGTGTTTTTTTTATAGAACATTCTTTGATTCCTTAAATTAGAAATTCTCAACTTTCTCACTGGGACATCTCAGCTATGACTTATTATTGCTTATTACTGTTTTTGGTCATGGGGCTTGAACTCTGGGCCTGGGCACTGTCCCTCTTCAGCTCAAGGCTAGCACTCTACATTTGAACCACAGTGCCATTTCCAGTTTTCTGGTGGTTAATTGGAGACAAGAGTCTCACAGACTTTCCTCCCTGGGCTGGCTTTGAACTGCGTTCTTCAGAACTCAGCCTTCTGAGTAGCTAGGATTATAAGTGTGAGCCACCAGCACCCAGCTCTCTTCCAGCTTTTTGATGGTTAATTGGAGGTAAGAGTCTCATGGGGACTTTTCTGCCTAGAGTGGCTTCTAACTACTATCCCCAGTAGCCTCCTGAGTAGCTAGGACTACAGATGTGAACCACCAGCACCTGGCCCATAGATCATTTTTATACACTGTGAATCCTATACAGTCTGCACTTGGTTTTTGAAAATGGTCTGCTGAAGGCCAGTCTATAAGGGCAGTGGTCAGTGTTGGTAGCCATGACCACTTTCACATTCTCACTCCTCATCTGTGGTTCAGTTTTGATGATAGGTAAGAGCCATTGGCGCCCAGCTATATCAGTTGTTTTGAGGTCATAATAATCCTCATGACAAAGTGGCATGACAAATTTAATATGACAAATTCTGATCCCCAATACTTTGAAGCTAAAATGCCTTAAACAAGTCCTTGCCCCAGGCACTATTGGCTCAAACCTGTAATCCTAGCTACTCAGGAGGCTGAGATCTGAGGATTGCAGTTCGAAGCGAGCTCAGGCAAGAAAGTCCAGGATACTCTTTATCTCCAAGTACTCACCAAAAAGCCAGTGGTAGAGTGATAGCTTTGAACATAAAAGCTCAGGAACAGCACCTAGACCCTGATTTCAAGCCCCAGCATCAGCACAAAAATAAATAAAAAAAAATTTAAAGCTGGATCAATAGAAAGCCCACGGATTGGGAGAAGATCTTCACTAGCCATACAACAGACAAGGGTCTCATCTAAAATATACCTGGAACTCAAAAAATCAAATCCCCCAAAAACAAATCTGCAAAGAAACAATAAATAAGTGGACTAAATAAGTGGCCCAATAAATAAGTGGACTAAAGACTTAAAGAGAAACTTCTCTGAAGGATGGCGAATAGACACATGAAGAAATGCTCAACCTCTCTAGCCATAAAAGAAATGCAAATCAAAACAACATTGAGATACCACCTCACCCCAGTTAGAATGGCTATAATCAAGAACTCTAATAACAACAGATGCTGGAGGGGACGTGGACAGAAGGAAACCTTACTACATTGTTGGTGGGAGTGTAAACTTGTTCATCCACTTTGGAAAGCAGTGTGGAGGTTCCTCAAAAGACTCTACATAGAGCTCCCCTATGACCCAGCAATCTCACTTTTGGGCATTTACCCAAATGATCACAAACAAGACCATATTAAAGCTACCAGCACAACTATGTTTATTGCAGCATTATTTACCATATGGAACCAACCCAGATGCCCCTCAGTAGATGAATGGATCAAGAAAATGTGGTATATATACACAATGGAATTCTATGCCTCCATCAGAAAGAATGACATTGCCCCATTTGTTAGGAAATGGAAAGACTTGGAAAAAATTATATTAAGTGAAGTAAGCCAGACCTAAAGAAACATATGTTTCCCTTATTTGCAATTACTAGTATATGTCTAAGTCAAGCAGAAAAGGTCAGATAAGTTGATGTTAGGGGAATGAACCCCAAGATAAGTATTCAAATGTTTTTTTTTTTCTTTCATGTAATTGCTGCTAACATATTTATAAGATGATTTCTGTGTTGCTTTGTATGTCCCTCCCCCGCGATATAACCCCTGCTTTCACTGGATTTGATGTTGGTATAATTTGTGGAGGGGAAGGGCAAAAACAAATCATTTAACTAGGGATACAGGTGGACACATTGCAACAATGAGATGTAGAAGTCATTATGTTGAAAAATGAACATTACAACTTTGGTGGGTGGGGGGAGGATCGGGTTGGGGGAGGAGGGGAGAGTATGGGAAGGGATGGGAAGGGCAAACAAAGAGGAGGCAACAATGCTTGATAAGAAATGTACTCGTTATCTTGCCCATGTAATTGTAACTCCTCTGTACGGTATTCTCACAATTAAAAAATTAATATTGTTGAAAAAAACACGTATATAAAAAAAGAAAAAAAAAAGCTAGAAGTAGAACTGTGGCTCAAATGGTGGAGCACTTGTTCTCTGCTTCTCTCTGGCCAACTCTGAAGAATCTGGGAGCTAGGACTTTCCTACTTACATTCTAGACATTTGGCACTCTATAAAACTGGGGGAAAATGTCTTCTGCTTTAAGTTGAGTTTATATAACTAGACACTTCGGGTCCTTAGAAGTCAGGAGGCTGCACCAGTACCACTGGATGCTGGTCTGAATATGCCTGTTCGCTCTAGAACCTTCCTAAAACCCCAACAGGCCTCTGGAGCCAGGGGAGAACACAACATTTGTGTTGTGTTGTAAATATACTTTACCAAATCTAATTATTGCCATCTACAGTATTAAATAACACTGAGAAAAGTTGAGTTAGTGGCTCAGGCCTGTAACCCTAGCTACTTAGAGGATGAAACATGGAGAACTGAGGTTCAAAGCCAACCCACGCAGAAAAGTCTGCTAGATGTATGTCCAGTTAACTAGCACAAACCAGGCTGGAGTCAGGGCTCAAGTAGTAGAGTGCCTGCTGTGAGCAAGCAGACTGAGCAAGAGTGTAAGGCTCTGCGTTTAATCTCTGGTGCTGGCAGAAAAGAAGAAAAATATAGTGAACAAAAATGAAAATTGCTTTAGATTTATTTGAAAAATAAATCCCATTATTTCAATGTCAATGCCTGGGTTTAATTTCTAAATACCTTGTACTTGAAGTTTGGGTTATACTCCCTAAAAGTGTACTTGTTTTATGGAACATAAGCTTTCAAGAGAAAGAAGGGAAAAATTATAAAACAGAAATAAGGGAAAAGTTACTTTGTGTCCTGCCCTGCTGTCTGCCCACATGCAGGACTTTGGAAGTACCAGATCCTACAACACTTGACTCATATTGTTGCTTTACATGTGAAGATGATATAGAATACACAATGGTAGTGAAATGTATGTGGCTTTATAGGGCCTATTTTTGAACATGATAAGGGAGACTTTTGTTTGTGTTTTTTAAAAGATTAACTTCCTAAATAATTTTTTCCACAGTCAGGTTTGGACTCAGGGCCTTTTGCTTGCTTTGCTGATTTGCTTGGCTGGCACTCTACCACTTCAGTCTGGCTTTTTGCTAGTTAATTGTGGAGAAGAGTCTTTTGGCTTGTGTGTGTGTGTGTGTGTATGTGTGTGTGTGTGTGTGTGTGTCAAGGCTGGCTTTGATCTTTGACCCTCCATGTCTCAGCTTCCTAAGTGACTAGGATTACATAGGCATATGCCATTGGTATCTGGATAACAGTTTTAACTTTAAACTCACAGATCAGTGATTCTGTAGAGTTGATGCAGTGAGTTCATTGAGTTCACATGCAGCAGTCAGTTATCTGGCCCTCAGATCTTTTGTGTCAGTTAACGTTCTGTCACTAAAAAAACACCTGAGATGATTAATTCACAGTCTGGGCCATGGTTGGTTGACTCCCTTGCTCTGGGTAGCATGGCAGGGACCTTTGGCAGAGTTACAGTTCCCTCATAGGGTGGGCAGGGAGCAAAGTGGGTAGCAAAGAGGCTAGGCCACAAATTCCCTTCAAGGGCATGTCCCATGACCACCTGCTAGCTCCCATTTCTACCACGTTCCAATTCCACCAGCTCTGGGGAGCATACCTTCATCACATAGGATGTTGAGGGACATTTAAGATCCAAACTGGGCCATCCTTGAAGAGAAGAACAGGAATACTAACAAAACCCAACTGCTGGTAAGTGGTGGAGTGAAAGTTGGGGTGCTTTATGGAAGCAATGCCCATTTAGCCTTCCTGCTAACCATCCCCACCCTCTCCACCTTCGCTCTTCTGGATAAGGGACCGCTATGTTTCTGTGCCCAGGCTCTGATTGCTGAGGAGACCAGCAGCAGGCTTGCAGAGCAGGAGGAGGAGCCCGAGAAGTTCCGAGAAGCCCTGGTGAAGTTCGAGGCTCGATTCAACTTCCCTGAGGCTGAGAAGCTGGTCACCTACTACTCCTGCTGCTGCTGGAAGGGCCGGGTGCCTCGCCAGGGATGGCTGTACCTCAGCATCAACCACCTCTGCTTCTACTCTTTCTTCCTGGGCAAGGAACGTAAGTGTGGCAAGCCGTATGCACAGCTGTCGGTCTTCAGTCAACCCTGATCACGCTTAGCCTTGCTCACAAGAGAAGCCATCAATGAAATTTCACAACAAAGAAGATGTAAATAAGTAGAATGGCTGAGATGACAGCCAGAGATATGTGATAAACTTCCAAATGATGTGTGCAGATATTTATGCTTAATTACATATCCTTCTACTGTTGAAACTGGAGTTTGAGAGATCCTAAGGCTAAACTCTCGGGGTTGGGGGTGGGGTGGGGGCTTCTACGTGTTAGTTCCGTCACTGGTTCTTGTGTGCCAAACAGACACAAAGTATAAAGAAAGGAGATTTGTGATGTACGTAAGCCACGGGAAGGTAGCACTTCAGTCCATCTTCAGCCATCTTCAGGGTATAGATGTGAGCTGTAGGTTTAAATAGACAAAGAACTGAGGTCAGGAGGTGATAGAGCAGGCCAAGTCCTAGTCCTGGCCTGGTTGACCTAATCTTTGTTCCATGAGGTTTCCAGACAAGTTGTTCTAGCAGTCCTCCTTGGAGGGAAGCAGACAGACCACTGTTGGCTGTCTGTCCTGAGATTTTTGACTGTCTTTTTCCTTTGGGGCAGTTTCTGTCATCTTTCCTTGTAAAGATGTTACTAAAGTTAGATCCCCGTCCTTCCTGGAACAAGGTGACCAAGGTGACTGCGGAGTTACTGCAGGCATGAATGGCTTCCATGGAAGGACACAGAGGCAAAGTAAAGGCAAAGTGCCTAAGCTTTTAGCCTGATTTTCATTAACTCATGGATCCAAGTAAGTGGTCAGTGCCTTTCCCAAGAGGCAGTACAAGTACCTCTTACACTATTGGGGGGTCTTGATTTGGGGAGAGCTCCTTTTTTTTCTTGCTCCCTTTTGATGCATTTCTGTGGAAGTCACTTCAAATAACTCCTAAAAGGTTTTTACTGTTGAGGATTGCTGTGACTATTTCTAAGAGAGTAAGATGTATTCCTGCTTGTTAATACAGGGAGGCCATTTAAAATATCCAGCCCTGAAGTTCACACTGCTGGATGCACAGCTAGATACATAGCTAGATGCTTCTGGAAAGGGAAGAAGCATCTGGTGGGCCTACCTGAGTTCCAGGCACTGATTGACTTCTCACATGTTCAGTGGCAGGTATTGTCTTGGGCAGGTTAAATTAAAAAAAGTTACAGTGTTGGTTGTAGATTGGATGTTTCAAAAGTTATTCCCATTAAAACTGCTTCCAGAGAGCTGGTTGCATGGCCCAGGGGTAGAGCACTTGAGGTCCTTTTGTTTGTCCCTCAGCCATTCAGCTCAAGGCTACTACTTGACACAGTGCCACTTCTGGTTTTCTAAGTGGTTAATTGGAGATAAGAGTCTCATGGACTATCCTGCCCGGCTGGCTTTGAACCAAGATCCTCAGGTCTCAGCCTCCTGGGTAACTAGGATTACAGGTGTGAGCCCGGCTTTGTCTTTGTTTTAATATGGTATGTTCTTTTCTTTCTGCCTTATGATGCCTTGGACATATGCCCTATTTGCATAGCCTCCCTCTCTCTTGAATGTGCCCTTTTCCAACCTTCTTTTTCCTTCTGAAGTGCTTCTCAAAATAAACACCCTATTTTTCCATCCTTTACCTGGCCTAGCCTGTTAGGAAACTCCTGTTGTCCTTCAGAACCCCATTCTAAGTTTATCATCTCCAGGAAGCCTTCAATAGGCCCATGTAATTTGTACTGCCTTTATGTTTCTGTTCTGGCTTCCATCAAACCAGTGGTTGCTTAGTTGCTTGTTTGAATGTTAGTTTTTTCTATTTGAATGAGCTTTTCAAATACAAGGCTCTTCACAAAGCAGGTATGTAGTAAACTTAGTTGCTGATACAGTGTGTGTATGTGCTTGCATGTGTGCATGTTTGAGTGTGTGTGTGTAAAAGACTGTATGAAAGCTGGGTGCTGGTAGCTCACACCTGTAATCCTAGCTACTCAGGAGTCTGAGATCTGAGGATCATGGTTCAAAGCTAGCCCTGGCAGGAAAGTCTATGAGACTCTTATCTCTAATTAAACACCAGAAAATTGGGAGTGGTGCTGTGGTTCAAGTGGTAGAGCATTAGCCTTGAGCTGCAGAGCTCAGGGAAAATGCCCAAGCCCAGGGATCAAGCCCCACAACAGACCAAAGGAAAAAAAAAAGACTTTATGTGAAAACATTTAGAAGGAACTGGAGAAGTCTATTCTCAAGTCTAACATAGAAATGGAGCCTTTTAGCTAGGCATTAGTGGCTCATGGAAACACACCAAAGCAGTACTACAAAGCAATTTAAAAAGCAATAGTAGGTAAAATCATTCCCTACTTGATTGCTAATGAGTGTCACTAACCTTAGATGTTTTAGGATGTCAGTGGTTGGAGCAACCGCTCAATAGTGTTTGTGGTTTTTAGTTATATGTGTTTGTCTGATAAAGCAGCCATCAGATATAAGATGTAATTCTCCCTCTTTGCTCTCTATTAGCACCCTTGCTATTACTGTATCAGAAACCCAAGAATAGAAAATCTTTAAAAATAATATACTGTATTAACTTATATTTTAAAGAGACATATCTTGCTGTGTTGTGTAAATTGGCTCTAAACTTCCGGGGCTCAAGGGATTTTCCCAGCTCAGCCTCGTGAGTAGCTGATACTTCAGGTGTGTACTACTACTGTGACCAGTTGTATGGTTCACTTTGGAGAGTTTCATAAAAACTGCTTGGATTCTGTCTTCAAAGCCTAACAGCTGTCTGTTTCTCTTTAAGAGAACAAGAAGAATCCTTTTAGGCATTTTTTTTTTCTATTACCTTGCCCAAGGAACTCTGGTTTTGGCGTCAGAATTCATGTGGATTGAAAAACATTGCACGATTGTTAAATATAGTCTTAGAAAGTTTGTGTATTGCTTATCTGATATTCCATAATTCACAGTCAGGTCTGTGCTCTCTCCCTCACTAGGCTTAAGAGACTTTTGCATTTTATCTGGAGGAAAGCTTTGGATGTTGCTTGATGACCAGCTCTAGTAGCCTGGTAGAACATGTGCTCACCTTTTTTCTCTTGCAGTTAAACTTGTGATCCCATGGGTTGATATCCAGAAGCTGGAAAGAACGTCTAATGTCTTCCTGACGGATACTATCCGGATCACCACACAGAACAAGGAGCGTGACTTTTCCATGTTTCTGAACCTGGATGAAGTGTTTCGGATCATGGAGCAGCTGGCTGATGTGACACTCCGGAGGCTGCTGGATAATGAGGTGTTTGACTTGGACCCTGACCTGCAGGAGCCGAGCCAGATCACCAAGAGGTAGAGCTTTGGTTCCCCAGTGACCCTCAGGGTTCAGCGGACTCAGGCCTCAGTTCTGTGTGCTTTTTGATGGCCTTAAGTGTAGAGCTATCTCTCCGTATTCCCAGGGGATGGGTTCCAGGATCTCTGCACACACCATTCCCTGTGAATGCTATGATCTCTTGTATAAATGGCATAGTGTTTGATGTGACCTGTATCCTCCCCATTTCCAGCTGACTTATGATGTAATGGAATACACATGCTGTGTAATATTGTTTGTTATACTGCATTATTCAGAAAAAAATCAGCAGGAAAAAAGACTGTATTTAGTAGAGAGTTTTTTTTTTTCTGGTGGTTTGATTGATGGTTGGTTGAAACCAAGGATGCAGACTTTGTGGACACTGGGAGCCACACAAAAGGGTTTTGGGACTCAAGGCCTGCATTCTCTGCTTACTTGCTCAGGCCCAGTGCCTTACTACTTGAGCCATGCCTCTAACCTCTTTTTGCTGGTTCATTGGTGATGGAGTCTTGCAGACTTTTCTGTTTCCAACCATGATGCTCCAGATCTCAGTCTCCTGAGTAGTTAGGATTACAAGGATGAGCCACAGGCACCCAGCTATATTTAAAGTTTATAATTGCCCTTAAAGAGTCATCCAAATTTTTTAAGTTGTTAATCGTGATAGAGATAACAATTAGAAGTGATTAGTACTTATTTCCTTTATTCAGCAGGCTTTGATTTATGGATCCAGATCCCATTTTTCAGATATTTAAAAATTGATATTCATAAAAAGTACTTCTAGGGCCTGGGAATGTGGCTTAGTGGTGGAATGCTTGCCTAGCATGCATGAAGCCCTGGGTTTGATTCCTCAGTACCACATAAACAGAAAAAACCAGAAGTGGTGCTATGGCTCAAGCAGTAGCATGCTAGCGTTGAGCAAAAAGAAGCCTAGGGACAGTGCCCAGGCCCTGAGTTCAAGCCCCAGAACTTGCAAAAAGATACTTCTAGGAACTGTAAGCATGGCTCAAGTGGTAGAATACCAGTTATGAGGGAAGAAGCTGAGCAAGAGCTCAAGGCCCCTGAGTTCAAACCCTGTTACTGATACCAAAGGAGGGTGGCAGGGGAGAACTTTCTAGAACATATAATATAGGCCTCATCATGATAGGAATCTGTTACGGATTATACTTTGCTGGTGAACATTCATCCATTTATATTTGCAGTGGTATACATAAACCCAGGGCCATTTGCATGCTAGATATGTACTCTACCATTGAGCATTTTGTTATATTAAAATACTTTGTAGAAAAAGTTTTGGAGACAGCTGAATTTATTTAGATGCTAATTTGACAAAAATAGTATGTCAATATTGTTTACAGTTTGACCCCAATTGATCCTAGTCATGGAAAATTGTAGAGTCATTGCTTTAGCTATCACTTTAAGTTCATCAGAAGTACAGAGGATGGTATGTGAGCGTCATGTTGATCTTGAAGCTTATGGATTCTGACTGAATCAGTGCTAAATGGATATAATGGTGTTAAAAAGATGTTCTTTGCGAAACAAGTTACTATAAAGTGATGCCTGGATAGATTGATGTGTTAGATGTAGTTACAGAATCCTTCACTACTATTTGAATATTTTCAACCATTAAGCTTGAACTTAGAGCCTTTAATAGCTTGCTGGCACTTTACCACTTGAACTATGCCTCCAGTTTGGCTTTTTGCTGGTTGTTTTGAAAATCAATCTCCTGAATGTTTCTACCAGGACTGACTTCAAATTGTGATCTTCCAAGTCTCAGCCTCCCGATTAGTTAGGATGATAGGTATAAGCCCACCAATATTACTGTTAAATGAAATCTTTTGTTGTAGTTACATGCATGTAACAATTATTATTATTTGTATCACATAATTTTTGTTGTTGTTGCTTGTGGGGCTTGAACTCAGGGCCTGAGTGCTGTCCCTGAGTCTTTTTGTGCTCAAGGTTAGTGCTCTACCACTTAAGTCACAGTGCTACTTCCCTGGGTTAATTGGAGATAAGAGTTTCACAGGGACTTTTCGGCCAGAGCTGGCTTCAAACCATGATCCTCAGATTCAACCTCCTGAGTAGTTAGGATTATAGGCATGAGCCACTGGCACCTGGCCACTTTAACTGTTTTTAAGTGCATTGTCTTTAAGTGCAGTTTTAAGTGCATTAAGTGCATTCACATTGATGTGCAACCACTACCACCATGCTTCTCCAGAATGCTTCTTACATTGCATAACTGAAACTGCAACCAGTAACACTGACTCCCTATTTGGCCTTTCTCCAGCTTTTGTCAGGTACCTTTCTATTCCATCTCTAGGAAGTTGGCTAAGTCCCCCGTGTGAATGGAATCATGGTAGCATTGTCTTTTTGCATATGGCTCATTTCACTTAGACTGATGTCCTCAAGGCTTAACTGGGTGAAAGCATGTATCAGACTTCTTTTTTTTAAGGCTGATGTTCCATCACAAGTGGATATTCCTCTATCCACGCACACAGGTTATTTCCATTTTCTGGCTGTTGCAAATAATATTATGATAATTGTGGTATACATATTTTTCCAAGCCTCTGCTTTTAATTCTCTTGAGTATCTAGAAGTAGAAAATCATATAATAATTATGTTTTAAAGAGCCATTAGTTATTTACTTAATTCTTAAAAGTGGATCTCTTCTAACATTTCTCTCTGCCTTTTTTCTGGGTTTTCTTGAAGATATCCAAAGAAATGAGTAAAGCACAGACTATGTGCTGCCTTTTTTTTTTTTTTTTGCCAGTCCTGGGGCTTGAACTCTGGGCCTGGGCACTGTCCCTGAGCTTCTTTTGTACAAGTTTAGCATTCTACCACTTGAGCCACAGTGTCACTTCTGGCTTTTTTGCCCCCTATTTATGTGGTACTGAGGAATTGAACTCAGGGCTTCATGCATGCTAGGCAAGCACTCTATCACTAAGCCACATTCCCAGCCTGGTCATATGCTTTTTTTTCTTTTCTTTTTTTTTTTTTTTTTTTGGTGGGTTATAGGGCTTGAACTCTGGGCCTGGGCACTGTCCCTCAACTCTTCAGCCCAAGGCTAGCACTCTACCACTTGAGCCACAGCTCCACTTCTGGTTTTCTGGTGGTTTATTGGAGATGAGAGTCTCATGGACTTTTCTGCCTGGGCTGGCTTTGAACCGCGACCCTCAGATCTTAGCCTCCTGAGTATTTAGGATTATAGGCATGAGATACAGGCTCCTGGCCAGGTCATGTGCTTTTGTATGAAGCCATTTGGAAGGACAACTGAGAAAGTCTTGTATGTGTGTGTTTGTGTATATGTAAGACAACTGAGAAAGTCTGTGTGTGTGTGTGTGTGTGTGCGCGCGCGCGCGCGTGCATGTACATGCATGTGTGTGCGTGTACTGGGGCTTGAACTCAGGGCCTGGGCACTGTCCCTTAGCTCTTTTACTCAAGGCTAGTGTTCTACCACATAAGCCACACCTCCATTCCTCCATTTCTGGCTTTTCGGTGGTTAGTTGGAGATTAGAGTCTCACAGGCTTTCCTGCCTGGGCTGGCTTTGAATTGCAGTTCAGATCTCAGCCTCCTGAGCAGTTTAGGATTACAGTTTTCTTCTTGGCAGAAAACTGGTCTCCTTTGGTGTAAGTCCAATAAATTTTACATGGTTTGGATTGCCTCTGATCATCAGAGCATTCCTGTTCTGAAAGGGACTCCTGGAGTCTGTTCTTTGGTTTTGTGATGCTTAGTGTCAGGTGCTCACTCTCTGCCTGGCTGGGTTGACAGTCTCTGGATCCATCTGTGTCTGTTTTAAAAGGAAGTCAACCTGGTATTGTGGGAAGCACACAGAATTTCTCTCATCTCTGTGGTAGTTGGCATCCAAGTTCTTTTTACTACCTTACAAATATTTGTTCAAAATGGAAAAAGCCACTATTACAAATCTCTGAAGAAATGTTATATGAGACCAGGTACCACCTAGATCTGGTTCCTATTCACCTGTGAATTGCCACCACATTGTCCCAGGTAGACAAAGGAGCCTTCTAACAGCTTTAGGTATGCTGCTAAGCCATAGGCTTACCTGGATTTCAGGTAAGGTGTGATTGAGCCATACTTCTAGGTAGACATTTATTAGAAGAGGAAGCCCAGACTTCTCCAACAGCTAATTTTTTACTGGTAAAATCATTTGGGGGTAAAAAACAACTATCAGTGTTGGCCATATTTGTTTATGCTCCCAAATTCAGTGTAGTTCTGCCAGCTGCCCCACCCTGCCCCCACAGTCTACTCTGGGAATTGTTAGAAAGAAGAGAGAAGAATAAGGTAATGACACAAAGGGTCCTTGGGATGGGTGGTCCAGGAGCTCTTGGGTGGTCAGACACACCTTGGGGACATGGATTGTTGCCTGGGACTTCCTCCCAAAGTGGAAGGTAGAGTTGCCAGCCCTTTGCCTGGCAGTTGTCACTGCAGGCAGCTTTTGTCATGGAGACCATGGCCTGTGGGTGTAAACAGGTAATGAGTCAGTGCCCTTGGCACCCTGCCAAGAGAACCCAGGTCTGAAAGTTTAGGAAAACAGTCTCCCTAGCTCAGGCCCAGCTAGCAGTGCTGGAATGTCTCTCTTCCCCTCCCCTCCCCTCTTTATCTTTCCCTCCCCCTCCCCCTACTTTCTCCATCTAAGAGATTTCCAGCAATGCCCTTGAGGGCCTGAACCTCAGTGCTTAATCACTCTGGTCCTGTTGTGCCTTTGTGGGGGCCTTTGGATCCTGGCTAGAGCCAGGCTTGGACCTGTGTAGGAGAGGGAAGGAGAGGGCTTTGACACCTGGGATCTATGCAGTGAGTGAGTGCTGGCAGGACTTGGCACCCACCATTGCCCAGCTCACCAGGTGCATAGGAGACCTGCGCGCTGGACTCCTTAGCATGTCTTGTCATCAGAGCTTAGAGACAAGCAAGTGAGGGCTGGGAGGGACTTCCCAGAACTCATAGAGGGAGGAGATAGGAAGTAAGAGGGTGAGAGAAGGTAGACAGCCATGTTTGGGGAGCAGAGGTGATTGGAGCCTAAACTATCTTGACTGACTGCACCTACTGACAAAATGCCAAGTGGTATTGTGTGTGGAACCTGCTCCCATGGCACAAGTGCTTTCTGGCTTTTCAGATCCATTTAACTTCTTCCTGCCTGCATCTTCATGCAGTCCTTGCTGTGTGTGCATGTGTATGAGCGCTCCCTTCCCAGGCATGTGACCCAAGCTGAGCCCTGCACTGGAGCAGGTTGACAGCTCTGAGGCTCTGCAGCCCCACCAGTCCTCACCTTGCAGGAAGCTCTTGTCATCTTCCTCGCAGCCCCTCCCCCCAGACCTGGAGCTGCAGGGATGATTCGATTTCTACTGGGGCAGCTAAAAGGATGAAGGCAGGAACTTCTTTGAAAAGTCTCAGATGCCCTGTCTTGTTGAGGTTCTGGTCTCTTGGGGCATCTGGGTGGATGGATTTCCAAGGGAATTGAGGGGCTGAAGGAACCTGCAGAGCCCCAAGTGCTAGGGCTGGGCGGGCTTCATGTTCTTTAGGAACAAGCTACCACACTAGAGTGTCACTCTGTCATTTGCTTTGGACTCTAGCGGTCACAGAGAACAAGATGTTCTGAGTACACAGTAGCTTTGAGTTTCCTCACCCCTTTCTGTCTTAAAGGCTAGATTTGGCATTTCCCAAATTCTTTATCCATCCATCCACCTATACACCCTGCTGGTGTTCTGCCACTTGAGCCATAGCTCCACATCTAGTGTTTTAGTGGTTAATTGGAGATCAGAGTCTCATAGGCTTTTTTGCCTGGCCTGGCTTTGAACCATGATCCACAGATCACAGCCTCCTGTGTAACTAGAATTAAGGTGTGAACCCCTAGCACTTAGTAGCGTTTTCTAGTTTCAAAGCATGAGGCACTGGCCTGGGATGGTCACATAACTAAGAGCCACTCAGGGAAAGCCTTTGTGTGCTTTAGAAGGAGCTGTGGCTGGGGTGTCCTGTATCATTCATGGATGTGAAACCCTTGAAACTGAGCTAACCCAGACACTTCACCTGCCCAGCTTGCTGGGGAGCCTTTGGCCTAGAAACAGCATCAAGCTGGCTGATACAGTCCCGTCACATGTGTGGCCCAGATGACCGGGTGGAGTGACAGGTGGTATGTGAGCTTCCTAACAGTGCTCTGGACCATTGGCTGGAGAGGAGGGCAGGACACCTATATTTGATGTGTCTTTATGTGATCTTCTGAAATGGTAAAGAAATCAGTGAACTCTACCTCTTAACTTTCTTGGTCTATGTTCTTATAAATTAAATGTGAGTTTTTACAAGCTGTTTATATAGAATCTAGAACTTTCTGTTTAGTTGCCATGTGGGAATTGTACATATTGATTTCAGCTGCAACAGCAAACATGAAGTTTTGATCAACTGCATTCATGCCAGCATAGTGACAGGCTTGCCTGGTGGCATGTGGTCAGCCTGTACTTTCTCTGCTAGTCTCAGCTCTAGCACTCCTAGAGTGATTGCTTTGGCCTGTGCACATTAGCACTAGGGGAGGAGGGGGAGGTTGTGAACCAAGTCCATCCTCCCAGACCTGTGCCGGCTGCCATCTTAGGACATGATGGCTGTGTGGCCTTTCTGTGTCTTTAATGGAGACAGTTGCAGGTACTGGAAGGTCTGAGGAGCAAGCTGCATCTAGGAAGCTTTGCTTTTGAGGCTGTTGAGAAAAGGCAGCTGATGGATTTAGCATTAAAATTGCCACCTTTGTAGAAACAGACTTAAAGGATGCTCTTCCTCTGGTCTGCATAAGGAGCTGATCTCACTACTCATGGTGCTGTCTTCATGTCAGCTACACCAGATATTTAAGTATGTGGGACATAAGTGGCTTGTACCTGTAATCCAGCTATGCAGGAGGCTGAGATCTGAGGATCATGGTTCGTGGCCAGCCTAGGCAGGAAAGTCTGTGACATTCTTACCTCCAGTTCACCACCCAGAAAGCTAGGCTCAAATGGTAGAACACTAACTTTGCACAAAAAAAGCTCAGGGGCAGTGCCCAGGCTGTATTAAATCCCCATGATTATAACCCACAAGCTGGGGATGGAGGTGTGGCTCAAGTGGTAAAACACTGTATGGGCCCCAAAGTATGTCTATGCACACACACACACACACACACACACACACACACACCACCACCACCATACACCCCAGAAGTGAGCTTTCTGCTTGCAATGCTGATACTATACTGCTGAGCTACACACTCACCTCTTCTTAAATTTGTTTTGTGCCCTCACTGGGACTTGAATTTTAGCCTGGGCACCCTCCCTTAGCTTTCTGAACTGAAGGCTAGCACTCTACCACTTGAGCCACAGCTCCAGTGCTGGAGTTTTGGTGGTTAATTGGTGATAAGAGTCTCTTTTCTGTCCTGACTGGCTTCATATCATGATGTTCATATCTCAGCCTTCTGAGTAGCTAGGATTACAGGCATGAGCCATTTGCTTTTCAAATTGATACTGAAAACATAGGAATTGTACATGTAAATGGGGTACCATGTGATTTTTCATATTTGTGTACATTGTGTGATGCTTAGGTTAAGTATAACTTTTGAAACATTTATATTTTTTTTTGGTGAAAATATTAAAGATCTTTTCCTCTAGCATTTAAGAAATCTCATTCCACCAGGTGCTGGTGGCTCACACCTGTAATCCTAGTTACTCAGGAGGCTGAGATCTGAAGATTGCAGTTCAGAGCCAGCCCAGTGGTAGAGCACTTGCCTTAAGCTGAAGAGCTGAGGGACAGCGCCCAGGCCCAGAGTTCAAGCCTCACGACTGACAAAAAACAAATACCCCCCCCCCAAACAAAAACAAAAACAAAAAAGAACTCTCATTCCTATTTATATATACCCAAGAGAATTGGGGGCTCAGGTCCACATGTACCATGTGGTATATTGATGTGTCGTATGATCACCTACCATATTGGGCCACAGTAGAGTAGAGCAGACTCTTCCTTCTCCATTGTAGCTTAGGACTGAGCGGCCAGCCTCTCCTCACTCCTTCTCTTGTGCTTTCCAGCTGTGGTAGCCATCTTCCTGCTCTCTTAGGAGACTGTCTTTCATTTACATTTAAATATGTTGGACATGGTTGCCCTTGGGAGCTTGGTCATCTTGACCATCCCATGCCTTGCTCTCTTGCAGGTTAACTTCTGGAGAGTTCACAATGCCTTGCCTTGCTCCCCTTCCACAGGCTCCTCTTCTCCTCCTCCACCTATACGACCACCTCTTCCTCCTCCTCTTCTTCCTCCTCCTCTTCTTTCTCCTTTTTCTTCTTCTTGTATTTAATTACATACCATCCATTTCACCACTCAGTTTTCTACACTATTCATAGAATTGTGCATCCAACACATCAATCAATATTGTTACGTTTTATCACCTCCAAAATCAACCCCATGTTAAGGAGCATTGACTGGCTATTTCTCCTTTCCTCCAATTTCTCAGTCATCATTAGCTTGTTAGCTGCCTCTCTCCACCGTCTGGTGTGGTTATTTCCTCTCAGTGGAATGGAGCAGTGTGTGTGACCTTTCTTTCTACTTTCCTCAAACACAGTGCTTTCTGCTTCCTCAAGTCCTGGTGCATTCCTATTGCTATAGCTGTATAATATCTCCCCAATTACAGGGATGGACCACATTTTGCTTATCCAAACAATTGGCGGACATTTGAGTAACTCCTATTTTTTGGTTATTATGAATAATAATGCTATAAAAATGTATGGTCAGGGCAGGGAAGGTGGCTCAGTGGTAGAGCGCTTGCCTTGCATGCATGAGGCCCTGGGTTCGATTCCTCAGCGCCACATAAGCAGAAAAAAAAAAAAAGAAAGCCAGAAGTGGCACTGTGGCTCAAGTGGTAGAGTGCTTGCCTTGAGCTGACGAGCTGAGGTACAGTGCCCAAGCCCAGAGTTCAAGCCCCATGACTGACCAAAAAAAAAAATGTATGGGCAAGTTTGTAAGTGGAATTAAGTTTTGTTGGGTAGATATAACTAGGAGTGAAATTTGGGAGTATGTGGTTTATTTTTAACTTTGCAGATTCTTGCTAGATCATTTTCCACTCACATCCTCACCAGTACTTACCATCCAGCTTTTTTTTTTTTTTTTTTTTTGGTACTGGTACTGGTGTTTGAACTCAGGGCCTTCAGGCTCTGTGTTTTCCAGGTGGACACTCTACCTTTGAACCCTAGCTCCACTTTCGGCTTTTGGCAGTTAATTGGAGACCAGAGTCTCATAGGCTTTTTTGCCTAGGCTGGTTTCAAACTGCAGTCCTCAGATCACAACCTCCTGAGGAGCTGGGATTATAGGCATGAACACTATCACCTGACACTACCTGACTTTTTGATACTTTTGGATTTCTTAGGCCATTTCTATGGTCATTCCTTGTACTACTCAGACCAAGAAAATCTGCTTACCTTGACCCAAGGTCCTCCAATTATTTCTCTTTGCAGACAACACTCTCTGTTAGGAAATTGGAGCATGGGAGATAAACTGGCTGTAGAAATACAACCTTTTTCATTCACTCAGCTGTCAGGTTGTACCAGTAGGCTTCACAGTATTTTCTTTAATAATCTTATATATACATTCACCCTTCCTGCCTCTTATTCTCTCCTGCTCGGCCTTTACCAGGGATCTCGAAGCCAGAGCACAGAACGAGTTCTTCCGGGCGTTCTTCAGGTTGCCGAGGAAAGAGAAGCTGCAGGCAGTTGTGGACTGCTCCTTGTGGACGCCCTTCAGTCGCTGCCACACAGTGGGCCGAATGTTCACCTCTGACAGCTACATCTGTTTTGCCAGCAGAGAAGATGGCTGCTGTAATGTTGTCCTTCCACTCCGAGAGGTAGGGTTTGCTTAGCTCAACAATTTTGAGGGCTTAGAAGTATGGTGGCAAGTTCCTGCTCAGCTCTCCAGTGGCCTTCTTCTTGGTGAATGGCATCACAGTGATGGGAGAATGTGTGAAAAGAGGATAAAGACAGGAAGCATGGAAGAGCCAGTCTGGCTCTTTTGTAACAACCCATCTCCTAGGGACTAGCCAGGGTCCTATGAGAACTGTATTAATCCCTTCTCAGGGCAATACTTCCGATGACCTAACCACTTTCACTTGGTCCCACCTGTTCTTGGCTGTACTATCTCGTAATATTGCCCTATTAGGGACCAAGTATACAACACATGAGCCCTTGGAAGACACATTCGAGCTATATCCAGTCCACAGAAACTAGTGATACTGGCTGTGAGCTGGAGCTCCAGAAGGGATGTTCACATGGCATGCCTTTGCTGTGTGAAGATGGACATCTAGAAGGGTGGCCATTCAGAGGGGAGCAGAGCCTAAATTGGACCATTATCCATTTGGCTGTGGCTTTTTCTTTTGTTGCCTTGGCAACCTGAAATTTACCTAGAGGTGATGGGTATAAACAGAGTATTCTAACCTCCACATTGTTGATAAAGCTGTTATTAAAAAATACATGCTTAGCAATTAAAGCTTTTCCAACAACCTTTAGAAGTGAATTGTCCTCTTCCACCTGCAAAAAAAAAAAGCAACCTATAAAAAGCTTTACTTTGAAAATAAATGACACATGGCTTGGCTTTTATAATCTCTAATTTCAGTTGAAAAACTAACAATTGTTTCTTCAGTATGAATCAAGTTCTTTTCTCCTATAAAACTCTGTAATTTTCTTTTTGGAACTAGTGGGGAACAAACTGAGTTTACTCCAAGTTCTGAGCAGCTGAGTCCTTTGAAGTCACGTATCCCTGGCTGATCCTTCAAGATGCAGGAGTCTTGGGTCTTATGTTATAGGCCCTGAGCCTTGTTCTTAAGTGGACTCAGGCTTTTCATTCATAACACTCTACCTCATCCATTCATAATGTCCTACCTCCATGCATTGTTCTGCAGTGGATGTGTTCATTATACAAACATTCTTATTAGTGGAAGGAGAAATTTGGAACATGCCTCACATAATTTTTTTCTGGCAACATATACATAACAAACTACCATCTCAGTAATTTTTTTTAAGTGTACAGTTAAGTGATACTTAGTAATTCACATTGTTCAGTATCTACTACTATTATCTTCTAGGACTTTTATATCCTCCCAACTTGAAATTCCCTCATTAAATACTAACTACCCTGTCTATCCTGACCTGACCCCTACTCTTGGCATCTACCAGATGGCCATGTCCCTACAGTATCTACTCTAGGTACCTTGAATAAGTGGACTCATAGAGTATTTGTCTTTTTGTGATTGGATTGATTAATGTAGTATGATATCCTGAAGGTTCATCCATATTGAGGCATTTGTCAGAATTCCTTTTTATTTTTGGGGGGGTGCAGGTCCTGGGGCTTGAACTCAGGGCCTGAGTGTTGTTCCTGAGCTGCTTTTGCAGCAGGCTAGTGCTCTACCTCATGAGCCACAGTGCTACTTCCAGATTTTTCTGAGTAGTTTATCAGAGATAAGAGTCTCACAGACTTTCTTGCCTGGACTTACTTTGAGTCACAATCCTCAGATCTTAGCCTCCTAAGTAACTAATATTACAGGGATAAACCACCAGAATGAGTCAAATTCCTTTCTGAAGGCTGAATGATATTCTGGTATCTGCCTAAACCACAGTTTGCTTATCCATTTTTCTGCTGATGTCTCCTCAGGGTGCTGCCACTTTCCAGTATTTTTTGGGTAATGCTGCTTTGCACCTTTTCACCTTTACTTTCTATCCTGGGGTATTTTCTTAATTTTGTAAACTTAGTTATTTATTTTTATTTCTTAGTTTTTGTGTGTTGTGGGGCTTGAACTTGGGGCCTGGCACTGTTGCTGAGCTCTTTTTGCTCAAGGCTAGTGCTCTACCACTTTGAGCCACAGTGCCACTTCTGGTTTTGTGATAGTTAATTGGAGATAAGAGTCTCACAGACTTTCCTGGTGCCCAGCCGTACATTTATTTATTTATTTATTTTTTGGGTCTGGTTGTGGGGCCTGAACTCTGGGCCTGGGCGCTGTCCCTCAGCTCTTCAGCTCAAAGCTAGCACTCTACCACTTGAGCCACAGTGCCACTTCCGGCTTTTTTTCTTTTTGCTTATGTGGTGCTGAGGAATTGAACCCAGGGCCTCAGGCATGCAAGGCAAGCGCTCTACCACTGAGCCACCTTCCCAGCCCTGTAAATTTATTTTTTGATGGCACTTGCATTTGGATTTGAGGATTATGCTTGCTAGGCTGTCGCTGTTTGGCTAAGCCACGCCCCCAGACCATACCCCTTTTGTACTTTTTTTTTTTTTTAATTTGTTTTTATAGGTTATGGGGCTTGAACTCTGGGCCTGGGCACTGTCCCTCAACTCTTTAGCTTAAGGCTAATTACCACTTGAGACACAGAGTCACTTCTGGTTTTCTGGTGTTTAATTGGAGATAAGAGTCTCAACAGACTTTCCTGCCTGGGCTGGCTTTGAACTGCGATCCTCAGATCTCAGCCTCCTGAGTAGCTAGGATTACAGGTGTGAGCCACCGGCACCCAGCTGTACTGTATTTTTTGTTTTTTTGTTTTTTTTTACACCATTACACATACATACATACATACATTTATACATGTCTTTATCCATTCATTCAGTCATTGTGCCAGTACTGGGCTTGCACTCAGGGCCAGGGGGTTCTTCTTTAGCTTTCTCATTTAAGGCTGGCTTTCTGTCACTTGAGTCACACTTCCACTTCTAGCTCTGTGTGTGTGTGTGTGTGTGTGTATGATTAATTAGAGATAAGAATCTCACAGATTTTTCTGCCCAGGCTGGCTTGGAACCTTGATCCTCAGATCTCAGCCTCCTGAGTAGGATTACAGGTGTGAGCCATTGGCACCAGAGTTATACTTGGTATTTTGAGGCAAGGTCTTGTTTTCTGCTTGGGCCTGGCTTTTTGTCACTTGAGAAAAGATCTTGAGAACTTATTTTTGCCTGGGTTACCTTGAACCATAATCTGTCCATTCCTAGCCTCTCAAGTAGCTAGGGATGAGCAGTTGGTGCCTGGAGATTTATCTTGAGGGAAACAAATATTTTTAAATTACTTTTAAAACACTGGTTCTGGGGCTTTAATTCAAGGCCTTGGTGGTGTCCCTGAGCTTTTTTGTCCAAGATTAGTGTTCTACTACTTGGGCTATATAGCTTCACTTGTAGCTTTTTGGTGCTTAATTGGAGATAAGTCTCAGACTTGTCTTTGTGGTCTGTTTTGGAGGCATGATCCTCATCTCAGCCTCCTGAGTAACCAGGATTAGAGGCATGAGTCACCAGCTCCCTGCTGTCTTGGGATATTTTCTGAAATGTGACCGGCAGTCTGATTGTAATGGTCCTTGCTGAACTCTATGTCACTGTGCTGCAGATTGTGAGCATCGAGAAGATGGAGGACACAAGCCTGCTGCCCAACCCCATCATTGTCAGCATCCGGAGCAAGATGGCCTTCCAGTTCATCGAGCTCAAGGACAGAGACATCTTGGTGGAGAGCCTGCTAGTGAGACTCAAGCAGGTTCACGCCAACCACCCTGTGCGATATGACACCTCCAGTGACGATGACATGGTAGGAGTCTTCACGGAGTGGCCATCCATGACAGAAAGCCCTTAAACCACACTCCAGGCAGTGCCTCCACAGAAAGTACACAGAGATGGGCCACTGGGTTGTTAAGACAAACACACCAGACACTGTTGGGCTTGTGCATGTGTCTTGTGTCACTTCATTTGCATGCATACGTGTGTGTGTGTGCATCTGTGTGCACTGACCCTGGGGCTTGAACTCAGGGCCTGGGCTCTCTCTGTTAGCTTCTTTTGTTCAAGGCTAGTGTTCTACTGCTTGACCTATAGCTTCACTTTCAGCTTTTTTTGTAGTTTAGGGGTCTGGAAATGTGGCTTAGTGGTAGAGTGCTTGCCTAGCATGCATGAAGCCCTGGGTTTGATTCCTCAGTACCACATATACAGAAAAAGCCAGAAGTGGTGCTGTGGCTCATGTGGTAGAGTGCTAGCCTTGAGCAAAAGAAACTCAGGGACAGTGCCCAGGCCTAGAGTTCAAGCCCCAGGACTGGCAAATAAATAAATAAATAAATATTAAAAAGAATCTCATGGACTTTCATGCTCAGGCTGGCGTTGAACCTTGATCAGATATCAGCATCCTGAGTAGCTAGGATTATAGGCATGAATCACCAGTGCCCAGCTCTGTGTCACTTTGGTAATATAGAGTGACCTGGGTAAATGTTACTTAGAGGTGCCAGTGGGGTACTTTCCTCACAGGTTGCAGGGCCAGCTGTAACATGCTGAGTGGGAGCTTTGTCATTTCTTAAGCTAAGCGTATTAATTGGGACCTGTGTTTACTGGGACCTTGTCTTCTATGGCCCGCCCCTCCCCTCCTTTCCCATACCTTTTCTTCCCTTCTCACCTTTCCTATATTCCCCTCCCCTCCCCTCTCTTTTTTCCCCCTCCCCTCTCTTCCTTTCCCCTCTCCTCCCTTCTTCTCCGTTTCTCCTCTTCTCTTCTCTCTCTCTTTCTTCCTTTCTTTTTCCAGTCCTGGAGTTTGAACTCAGGGCCTGGGCACTGCCCCTGAGCTTCTTTTTGCTCAAAACTAGCACTCTACCACTTGAGCCACAGCGGCACTTCTGGCTTTTTCTATTTATGTGGCACTGAGGAATCAAACCCCCAGCTTCATGCATGCTAGGCAAACATTCTACCACTAAGCCATAGGCCCAGCCTGACACGCTTTATTTATAACACACTTTTCTTTAAGATATAAGGCATACAATTTAATTTTGAATTGCCACACAATAATTGTGCTTATTTACTCTCTCTCCTTCCTGCCATGCAGACATCCCCTTTGTTTTACTCAGCAAGCATGTGTGGTGAGCACAAGTTTGGGGACCTTACAGTGGAGTCTTCTCAACATCATGAGGAAAGTGAGAAGAGCCCCCCACCGCACCCTGAGCCCCTGACTGCTGTCTTCCACCAGCGGTCAGGCTGCCAGAGCCCCGACTCCCGCCTGGTGGGTGAGGTGTCTCTGTCCTGATAGGGACACTGAGCTGGGCAGTGGGCATGGGTGGTTGCCCACCTTTGATTACCATAGAATGTGGTCTCAAGAGCTGGTGGATGTGGGTGGTTGGGGACCCTTGGCAGCCAGCATTCCCTTTCCCCATTGTCCTCTGGGCAGACAGCTGGGGGGGTAGCTGGCTGTCTCCACTTGTTCTCTTAGTGTTTGACTAATGCCACTATCCCATGTGGTCTGGGCATCTGGTAGTGCTGTCCATCTGGGCTACTAGGTGATTCTGCTCCTAGTCTTTCTTCTGCTTGCCAAGGCATGTGAGCACCTTGTTACTGGATTCCTTTTTTTGTTACTGGATTCCTTTTTTTGACATGAGGCACTGAAGGTTGCCTGTCTTCTAGTTTTTACTGAGCTCAAAGTGTGTTTGCTACACTTTGCTATAGTTTTTTATTTTCTATGTACGGCCACTTTGGGGCAGAAATCATGTACAAGTGTAGCTAGTCTAGAAATTGTACCTTGATATGCAGCCGTAACAGGCAGGAAGCCAGGTAGCAGCCGGGACGAACAGGTTGTGGCTGTGACATTATTGCCTAGTTATTTCCTGTTCACCAAGGATCTTCTGTAATCAGCTGTTAGTGTTTTGTTCTTTTTTGTTTGCTTGTTTTTGTCTTTTTTTTTGAGATAGCAGTCTCATGGACTTTTTTGCCCAAACTGGCTTCAAACCACAATTCTCATATCTTAGCCTTCTGAATACCTAGGATTACATACATAAGCCATCAACACCTTGCTAGGAATTGCGTTTGATTGTCATAAATTTTCTCCCCTGTCTCTCAAGTCTTGGAGGGCCGGTTATTCATCTTAACATTTTTTTTTGTGCCAATTGAGGTTGAAATATATGAACTGCATAAATTCAGACATCACTGGCTCTGTCCTTTAGTCCATACAGTCAATTCTGTGAGGACATTCATTCTGCCATTAGGGATTGGGGTTGGGTATTTGGCAGCTGTGGACAAACCTGTCCTACAAAGAAGCCTCTATGCATTAACAAGTATTTCCACTTACAGTCCCAAGAACAGATCAAAATCAGTCTATGGAATGACCACTTTGTGGAGTATGGCCGGACCGTGTGTATGTTCCGCACAGAGAAGATCCGGAAGCTTGTAGCCATGGGGATCCCGGAATCTTTGCGTGGAAGGCTCTGGCTCCTTTTTTCTGGTAAGTGTCTTTGTGCCATCTGGCCAAATAGTTTTGGAGGAGACCCAGATACTGAGGTAAGCAGTATACAGTCATTCCTCGCTATATTGTGGTCCACTTTTTGCAGCTTCACCATATTGTGAGTTAAAAAAAAAAACATATCTAATTCTGAATTGCAAAGTTTTTGCGTGGAATTTTGCAGTGGATACTTACTTATATAATTAGGATTTTAATTATTTTTGCCTACAAATTTCAAAACAATATAAAAACATAAAAATGTTAACTCAAACCCATTAAAAGAATATTAAATTGAAATAAAATACAGTATATATTTCATCAGCGGATAAACACTGCACTGTACACATGGAAATACAGTAAACCACTACCACTTCCTCAAGTTTGCCAACATGAGATTATACACAGCACACTATTGGCTGATGGAATGGAAGGTGACCAATCACAGAACTATGTTCTGTATCCTGAATGCTGATTAGCTTAGTGACCATAACTTTTGTGTATTTGCTCTCCTGCACTGTGTTCATACCTTCAAAATCTCTCCTTGTCCACTTCACATCAACATCTGGTCACTGAACATAGTGTTGCTCTGTGGTGCTGTGTTTTTGTGAAATTTTCATAAAAGTTAGAATTTATTTTAATTCCTGTAATGCCACCCAAGTGTTCTGCACCTCTAAGGCTTCTGGCAGTGAACCCAAGTGCCAAAGGAATATGCTTACCATCAAAGAAAAGGTGGAACTTCTCGACATGTTAAAGGAAGGCAAAAGCCACAGGGCTGTAGGCCACCATTATGTGAGCAATAAATCTACTGTTCATTACATAAAGAAAAACAGGAAGAATAGTAGGTCTATGGCAATGATAACTTTTAACAAGACTGCAAAGTGGGTGGACACTTTGCACAATAAGGCCAGTATGAGCATGGAGTTTACATTGGCTCCGTGGATAAATGACTGCAGGAAGAAGAATATCTTGCTAGATACCAACACCATTAGACAAAGGCCAAGAAACTTTATGATAGTTTTGCAGAAAGCACTAATGTTCACAACTGTGATGAGGATGAAGACGAGGACAATGATACAGAAGCAGGACTGTTGGTGCTTCTTCCACCAGACCAACCCCATTCAGTGCCAGCAAGGGTTGGTTTGACCAATTTCAAAGATGCTTTGGACTCAAGAGCATTTCTCTGCATGGAAAAGCTGCCTCTGTAGATAAAGCTAGAACCAAGGAATATGTGAACGACATGTTGAAATCCATTATCAAGGAAGGGAGCTATAAGCCTGAACAAGTGTTTTAACATGGATGAGACAAAGTTAGCAAATGAAGAAGAGGATGAGGAACAAGATGAACTATGGATTGGAGAAGAGGAGGAGGTTGGCCTCCTCAGTTGTCTTGAAAACATTGTTAGAATAGCCAAAGAGTGGGGAATGGAGGGGTGTAGCTGAGGAGGTGGGAGGGAAGGGATGGTAGGGGAAAAACAAAGGAGGAGGCAACAATGCTGGATAAGAAATGTACTCATTACCTTGCTCATGTAACTGTAACCCTTTTGTACACTATTTTCACAATAAAAAACATAATTAAAAAAAAAAGAATGGCCAAAGAACTTCAGCGATTGGCTAAAGAATGGGACCCCCAGGTGCTTTGTTCATTGCACTTCATAGATACAATCGAGAGTAGCATATCAGTTTATAAAAACCTTCTCACTCAGAAAAAAGCAGTGCCAGCAACTCCCCATAACTATGTTCATCACTTGGACGAAGAGATTAGTTATGCCTACACCTTTAGTGGAAATAGAAGTTACGGCTCAGGGCGAAGATACTGAACCACCTGATGAAGCACATGGTGCAATGGTGCCTTCAGAAGAGCTGTAATGCTCTTCTTGGCTGTGCAGTACATTCATGTCATTGGTATCACCTTCATCGCCATCAGTACTGCACAGCTACATAATTCATGATCTTCATCATTCAAGTTGTAGTGTACTTCACTGGTGAGTACCCATATAGAATTTTGTATGTTGTTAAAATTACATAGGTTTAAGAGTGTAGAAAGTGTTTAAGAGCATATGAAGTATTTATAAGAGTGTGGGAAAGGTTAATAAGAGAGTGGGAAAGTTTTATAGGAGAGTGGGAAGGGTTTATAAAGCCTTAAAATATAAATAATAAATATAAAACTGCTATTTGGTGGATTTTCATCTATCATTGGGGTCTCTGGAACATAACTCCTGCAATTGTGAGGGATCACTGTATATGTGCAGACAGAGTCCCCTATCTTTGGTTTAGCTGTGAACTCCCAGCTGCAGGCCTGAGAAGCCTTCTTGTGTTAGCTGTAGACCTTGTGTAAATTGCCAGGGTCTCTGCGTTGTAGTACCTCATGATTAATATGATGTCTGGACATAGCAATCTCATCTCCTTTAAAACTGACTTTGTCAAACCTATAATCCTATCTTCTCATGAGGCTCATATTCTGAGGATCATAGTTCAAAGCCAGCCCAGAAGATTCCATTCTAGAAAAAAGCTGGCTGGAATTGTGGCTTAGGTAGTAGAGTGACAGCAAGGAAGTAAGCCAAAAAGCCCAAAGGCTTTGAGCAAAAATTCTAATTCGACCAATAAACAAATAAGCAAGTAAATAAATAAATAGAAATTGACCTTGATAAGCTGAGTTCAGTGGCTCAAGCCTGTAATTCTAGCTATTCGGAGGTAGAAATTGGGAGTTTGCAGTTTGAGGCTAGCCTAGGCAATAAAAAGTTCAAGATACTCTCTGAACCAATGGCTGGGTGCCATTATAGTGCATGCCTGTTATCCCAGATACAGGGGATGCACAACTTAATGGCTGCTATACAGTGAGGTACCCCTGTCATCCCCAGCAACTCAGGGAAGTATAAGTAGGAGGATCACTACCCAGGCTGGTCAGGCAAGACTGAACCTCATAAATGACCAATGTAAAAAGGGCCTGTGGTGTCATAGCTCAAGTGGTAGAGTGCCTGCCTGGCAAGAATAATGCTGAGTTTGATCCACAGTACCACCAAAACAAAAACTTGTCTGGTGGTGCGGGTGGCTCACACTTATAATCTTAGCTACTCAGGACACTGAGATGTGAGGACCGTGGTTCAAACCCAGCCTGGGCAGGAAAGTCTGTAAGACTCTGATCTCAAGTTTACTAGTAAAAAGCTGGAAATAGAGGTGTGGTCCATATGGTAGAACACCATCATTGAGCAAAAAAGCTAAGAGACAGCACCCAGTACCTTGAATTCAAGCCCTAAGACTGGTACACACACACAAAAAAGGAAAAAAAACAATCAAATACCAAAACCTGTCCTTATCAGCCTCTCTGTAGTACCAAGAATTCTTTTTAAGATTCCCCTGGACAGGAAGTGTCTGTGGAGATATCAGCCCTAAGTAAACTACACAAAAAAAATCTTCATTCTTTGTCTAGTAGCCTTGGTGTCCCCAAGTACTGTCTATGAGTCCTTCCTCCACTGAAAGCCCTGGGCACCCACAGGAGTTACATTTGCACATTCCTCTTCTGTTTGCTCTCCCCACCACCACCTGGCCTGCCAGTGGTAGCCCTGTGCAGCATCTGACCCCAAGGCCTCCCTCTGTGGCTAGCTGCTAGTCTGTGTCTCATAGGTCTTTATTAATGGGGCAGTTACATTGATAGATGGGCTGACATGGGGACCAGGCTTCCCCAGAGCCTGCTAAATGGGCGCTGGTCTGTCTCTACCATCCACTGGAGCCATTTCATCCCACTATACAAATGCATGTGGCCAAGGGCAGGGAGACACCTGATATCTATAGTGACATGGCAGCTGTCAGTGTTGTGTGATCTGCTCCTATATTACCTGTCCTGCTCAGGTCAGCAGTAAGGCTCTCAAGGCTGGGGATGGCTCTCTCCCTGATCGCTATTCCAGTGACTAGGACCTATCTTGACTTGCCTCAGCCGAACCACACGTGCTCCTCTTTTATCCCCCCACAACAAACTGGCCATTTCCCCTTCCTGCCAAACATGCCCATCCATAGCTATTATTATTATGATTTTTCTAATGCCAGTTCTGGGGCTTGAACTCAGGGCCTAGATGCTGTCCCTTAGCTTAAAAAAAATTAAAATTCTTATTATACATGTGATACACGAAGGGGTTACAGTTACATAAGTCAGGTAAGGAAGACATTTCTTTTTGGACAATGTCATCTCTTCCCTTGCTCTCTCCCCACCCATAAGTTGTATCGTTCATTTTCAACATAGTGTCTAGTGCATTACCACTACTGCATTTGTCCTTTAGTTTTTGTTGTTGTTGTTTTATTTTGTTTTGTTTTTGCTCAAGGCTGGTACTCTACCACTTGAGACACAGCTCTACTTTTGACTTTTGGGTTTTTTGTTTTTGTGTGTGTATGTGTGTGTGATTAATAGGAGTTTCATGGACTTAGCTGCTTGGGATAGCTTCATACCATGATCCTCAGATTGTAGCCTCCTATATAACTAGGATTACAGATGTGAGCCACTGGTACCCAGCTCCACCATGCTTCTTGTTCCTGCACTCTCCAGTGTTCAGTAGGTTAGGTGTGCACTTGGGTTTCTCCTACCCCCGCCTACCTCCTCCCCACACACCTGTTTCCCAGCTGCTTGTCTCACCATCCAAGCCCTCCCTTAACACAGAAAATGGATTTGGACTTAATCACAACTGTATATTCAGTGTTGAAAAGTAATATGTAGAAGAATCAGCAAAGAATGTGATGTCACCAGCCCCGCCTCTAAAGTGACACCTCTTAACACCATTGGCCGGAGGTCTTCTGGGTCTTTTTCATATATATTGCACATACGTGTGTGTGTGTGTGTGTGTGTGCGTGCACGCGTGTGTGTGCACACACACATTTCACATGGCAGGATATAGAGATAACATTTATGAACTATCTTTTCCTAGTGACAGAATGTTTCCTAAACAAGAGAAAAATATAACTTAGATGGACATCAGTGACTCATGCCTGTACTCCTAGCTACTCAAGAGGCTAAGATCTGAGGATCAGGGTTCAAAGCCAGCCCAGGCAGGAAAGTCCCAAAGACTCTTATTTCCACTTCACCACCAAAAAGCTGGAAGTAGAGGTGTGGCTCAAGTGCTAGAATACCCACCCTGAGCAAAAAAAGCTAAGGGAGAGTGCCCAGGTCCTGAATTCAAGCCCCCAGTACTGGTGCATGCGTGTGCATGTACACACACACACACACACACACACACACACACACACACAGGTTTGCTTGTTTGATGGGGAGAGTGCTATTGTATTTCAGTAACTGCATGTCTCCATTTGTGTTAGTGCTGTGTATTACATCTGCATGTCACAGTAATGAGCGAGAGTCAGGTGGTCTGGAGAGGATCTGCAGCCAGAGGGTATGTCCACCATTCCTAGTCTGAACCAGAAGTATAACTGTCTTTAAGTCAGATTGACGAGTGAATGGAGGCCTCACTCACAGTCTTTCCTTCCTCTCTCACAGAATACTAGAGGCTGGGCATTAGCTATACTTCTTGTGCCTGGCTGCCTGGCTTTGTTTGCACCTTCGGAGTCTCATCTCCCAGCCTGTGGGCTCTTAGGTGATGGTGTCTGTGGGCTCTTAGGTGATGGTGTGTTCATCTTGTTAACTCTGTAACTCCAATCATGCCTTACTGTGTGGCTTCTACACGTTGCTTGATAATTACTTGTCAGAGCAATGTATTAAGTCATGAGTACCTATGTATACTCCCCCTTCTAGGGAATACAGTTCATTACAAATTTATTAAATAATTCCTTTTTTCTGTGTTCTGAGAGCCTCATATATTCCTATCCCTAAAATAGTTTTGAAGCTGGAGGTCTAAAGACCTCAGGCCAAACTCCACTAACCCCTATAATCCAAATAAAGAGACATGGTGAAGGGCAGAGGAAGGAGATTAATGGCAGCCATGAGAAGACAGCACTTCAGTACAGAGTCTTCAGCCATCTTCTCTAAACAGATACTCGCCTTGGGTTAACTAGAAAGAATTTGGAGTAGGGGTTCGCAGTCTTAGTCACAGGCCGGTTCACAGGTGGCATGAGAGATGGTACCAGCTAGTCTGACAGCCCGTTGTCTCAAGATTGGTCAGCTGTGGTCTTGTTACAGTAGGGGCCATTGACACTGGGAAGATGGATAGTCTCTGTTCAGTCTTCATAGTCCAAGATGGCTGCCACGTGAATGGCTTTTACAGAGGTGGGAACATCTGGCCTGTAGACCATAGAAGGTCCATGAAATTATTTGGTATGTAACTGGACAGACACTGGCACCTCTCATAGGCATCTCATTGACTGCCCTTGGCTGTGTGCCTGAATAGATCATTTTGGTACTTCCCTCACATGGTCTTATAAATAACAAATGGCCTTCAAAGCAAAAAATGCTTCCCCACTCCATGTTTTCCAAGGACATAGGCACAGAATGGAGGCTGGGATGCCTGGCTCTTTTGCCTTTAGTTAATTTGTAGATTTAAGTAAGACATTGCTTTTAGTAAAAGGTAATTTAAGAACCTCTTAGTTTATCTATGAGTTTTTTCTATCTCCCTTTGCAACCGTTATAGTAAAGTTTTGTTTCTTAGGACAAGCCATGACATGAAGTTCTTTTGTATATGGTTTCAAACTACTTGGTGTTCCTTGGTGGGTAATGAGCCACCATTGGGGTCCTCAGCCAGGATGCTCCTTTTCTCTGGCAGTTGCACTCTCCAGTAGTCATTTCTCCTCTTGATGCTGCTTTCCTGTCCTCAGATGCTGTGACAGACCTTGCTTCCAACCCCGGTTACTATGGGACTCTGGTGGAGCAGTCCCTGGGGAGATGCTGCCTGGTCACAGAGGAGATAGAGCGGGACCTGCACCGCTCCCTGCCAGAGCATCCCGCCTTCCAGAACGAGACAGGAATTGCTGCCTTGAGGAGGGTGCTGACAGCCTATGCCCATCGGAACCCCAAGATTGGATATTGCCAGGTGAAGGGGCGAGCACCAGTGTGTGAATACCCCGTAGTCTGTGTCTGTGTCAGCCCACCAGGGCTTTGATCTGTTCTCAGTCATCCAGACCTGGGGACTGTGCTATCCTCTGAAGGTGCCATGCTCAACTCTTTCTCAGAAAGAATGTACCAAAAAAGGGCAAAACTAACTTTTCTTTATCTGGGTACAGTGGAACATACCTGTAATCTCAGCTACTTGGGAGGTTGTGACTGGGAAATCACAGTTCAAAACAGAGTTTATCTCAGTCTCTAAGCCAGATGGGCTGGTGTGTGTTTATCATCTCAACTACATGGGAGCTGTGAATAGAAGATCACAGTCCAGGCTTCTTCGCTTCAAAAACAAAAACAAAAAAAAACCAAAGCAGGACTAGGGGCTTGGAAAGAGTGGTAGAGTTCTTGTATGTCAATCACATCTTGAGGCTTTGAGTTCAAAATCCAGTATCACAACCAAAAACCCAGCCAACCAAGCAAAAAAGACAGGCTGGTAATTAGACTTAAATTTTGCCCAGTGTGGGAAAGGAAATGAGCTGAGCAGATTCCAGTTTTGCCGCCCTCTCTAGGCCAGAGATGGGATGACATTAATGGAACTTGAGATCTCTATAGAAATGATAAGGATTGAAACCACAAGGCAATTTGGGGAGGAAGGGATAATTAGGGCAGGCCACTTACCTAAAGGAAAGGTGAGTGGAGGTAAGAGTTCCTCTGAGCCATTCCCAATGAAGGGATAAAGGCAGCAACCACAAAGTAAAAACCAGATCAAAATCACCTAAGACTGGATTAGAGAAGCTCCTGACATTTAGCAACTTAAGACTGAACTTCATAAACAAAGTCAGTGGGTGAATGACAATTACATGTGTCTGTTTGTCTGCCTGAACTTATCAAGCATTGCTGGATTTGTGCCACGCCTGAGACCCACATCTTAGCGAAACCCAGCTTTACCAGGGGGCTATGGGGCATGATCGCTCACTTGGGACATGGGATGCCATGGTTGTCACTTCTCAAGTGTCAGTATGATGGGGTACACTGGATCACTCACCTGCCACATCTTTTTCCTTGGACTTCAACGCTTGTGTGTTTGTTTTGAGGTACTGGGGATCAAACCCACAGCCTTCCATACTAGGTGAGCACTCTACCAGTGAGCTATAACCCCAACACTTGTGCCTGTATTGGGGCTTGAACTCAAGGCTTCATGCTCTTGCTTTTTGTTCAAGGCTGGCACTCTACCAGGTAAGGTATACCTCTGTTTTCTTGCTGGTTAGAGATAAGGGTCTCACTGACTTTTCTGCTTCTGGCTTCTGAACCTTAATCCTCAGATCACAGCTTTCTGAGTAACTAAGATTACAGATGTGAAACACCAGCATCTGGCCCCTGTTTTTTTTGTTTTTTTTCTTTTATGTCTCCATGCCACTGGTTGCCTGGTCAGTAATTGTCTCCTCTGTGTCCCTCTGAGCAGTCCATGAACATCTTGACCTCTGTGTTGCTGCTCTATGCCAAGGAGGAGGAAGCCTTTTGGTTGCTGGTTGCCGTGTGTGAACGCATGTTGCCTGACTACTTCAACCATCGAGTGATCGGTAATCTACCTCCCTGCCTCCTCCTCTGGATATGGGGATGGGAGCAAACCCTTTGGAAGATGGTCATCATCCATGCTGTTCATGAGATCCCTCTGTACGATGCAGCTGGTCTCTGCACAAACACTGTTTGATTCATGAATTGGAAAACGAACTCAGAGAATTCTCTGTGCAGTTCTAGCTGTGTGGAGAAATCAGTTTTGATGTAAACACCTACAGATTTTGGATTAAAACCAAATGATTTGAGAGGGATAGCTGAGTTTATAAGAAGGAGAGTTCTTAGGTCCAAGAAGCAGGTCACAATATGAAAATGAGTGATTTTTCCACTGATGTTGGAAAAGGAACAGGGCTTGCCTGTTGGTTGTCAAGGGAACCTATGCAGAGGTGGTTCTCTGTTCTATAGGAGAGGGTGGGTGTGTCAGTGCTGGAGACTTTGGGAATCATACTTACATAAGGTGATTTTAAGAAGGCTTTTTGGAGCTGGGTGTTGGTGGTTCATTCCTATAATCCTAGCTACCCAGGATACTGAGTTCTGAGATCATGGTTCAAAGCTGGTCAGGGCAGGAAAGTCCTTGAGACTCTTATCTCCAATAATCTACTCAAAAAAAAAGCTGGAAGTAGGCTGTGGCCCAAGTGGTAGAGTGCTGGCCTTGATCACAAAGAGGCTCAGGGATAGCTCCCAGGGCCTGAGTTTAAGCCCCAGGACCAGGGGGGAAAAAAAAAAAGATTTTTTTTCTGGGCTTGTATTAATCAATTTTTTGTTAATATAACTAAGTACTTTAAAACAGGTACTTATACAAGTTACTTACAAAGAGACAGTAGTTTATTTAGCTCATGTGGTAGATGAAGTAACGGTGCCTGTATTGGTAGCTGAGTTCTGGTGAGGGCCCCATGGTGGGGGACACATTTTGGAGCATGTGGTCGCATCTCTAGTTAGGAAGCAAAGAGAGCTGGTTGGGGCCAAATTGGTCCTTTGTAACAACCCTCATATGACCCAGTGACCTCCTGTTCCTAGTGACCTAAGGACCTGCCCCTACGTCCTATCCTCAAGGGATCCCCACCTCTAGTAACTCTACCCTAGAGACCAAGTCTTTAACACAGGAACTTTTTGGAGGCACAGTTGTGAAGTCATATCTAAACCTATAGCCCTACAACCTGCACTTGGAGCATCTATCTTTTGTGTGGTTGAAGATTTGAAGGTGTATGTCGGTGGTCTGGCACAGCTTCTCGTGGGGAAAATATTGTCACATCATTTAGGTTTGGTGACAGTCTTGGGGACATTTCTTAGTAATCCAGATAAGAGAAGGAGGCGGTCTAGAATTATAATGGCATGTGGGAACAGAAATAAAAGAAGCAATTTGAGGAGGAATTTGGCAAGGCAGGAAGAAAATCCCCACCCCTCACCTTGAAACAGAGATCTAAGCATGGAAGGATATGATACATTGTGGGAAGGAGCAGGAGCAAGTGGGTGAGATTGGCCAGGAAAGAGGTGATGCTTGTGTTTTCAGTGGGCCACTGGGCATCTTCACAGCTCCTTTCATTGTCTGTGTGGCTCCTTGGCTTGCTTCTTTTTCACTTTGTGTTGTGGTAGGTGTTGTATTGTCTAGCATGACAAGCAATATAGCACTGCAGTGTCTTTGGGAAGCATGAAGCGGGGGGGGGGGGGGAGTATTGCTGAATGGCAGCTTGGACTCAGCAGTGAATAACAGTTCAGCCTCTTGTGATGATGTGTGATGACCACTTCCTTGAGACAGGAAGGAACAGCTGGAATATTCCATCAACACAGGAAGTTCCTTTTCTGCCCTTTCTCTGACATAAACAATGCTTGGTACTGATTTCTGTCACCACAGAAATCTGGTCCATTCTTGAACTTCATACACATGTAGTAATAATGAACTCTGGCTTCCTTAACATAGTATATAATGTTTGTGACAGGTGTCTGCTTTGGTGGAGCACCAGTAGTTTGCTTCTGTATTGTTGGGCAGTGTGGCACTATGTTTATGCCATGATTATCCACTTACCTGTTGATTGGCAGTTGAGCTGCCTCCAGTTTTAGTCTGTGAAAAGTAAACTTGCAGTAACTTTCATATGATTCACAAGTCTTTCTGTAAATCTAGACTGTTATTATTCTTGGGTATTTACCCAGGAATCTTCCTAGATCATGGTTTAATGTAACAACTGAATAAGAAACAGTCAGTTGGCCTCAGTCTTCACATCTGTTTTCTTCCTGATAGGTAATTTTAGAGTTTTTTTTTTTTAGAGCTTTTAGACTTTCTTGTGGATCATCTTAAGTCAAATACAAAGAGAGAGAGAGACAAACAGACAGAGACAGACAGACTGTGAACAAATAAAACAATAAAGCATAGCATGGAGCTGATTTCAAGGATAAATTTAGTCTTTTTTTTTTGGAGGGTGAATGTCAGTGTTTCATTCCATTAACCTGTAGAAACAAGAGAATATCTACTTCAACCTAAAATATTGTCATGAAGGCCTAACTCCTAAGAGGTTTATAAAACTCCTATGGAATTGGACTATACCTCTTCCATATCTAAAAACATCTTTTCATTTTAGTATAAAAGATTTCTAGAATCTTTGATCTAACCTGCACACTTTTTACATGTATATCAATACAAAATGAAATTACACCAGCAATGGTGGAAGATCCTATTTGTTTTAATTAAATCTTGTTATCCACTGACTTTGATCATTTTAATATGAAGCAAAATATGGATTATGTTTAATATATGTGTTTTCCAGAATAATTAGAAATTATTTCATTGATTTCCAGAAGAAAACTCATCAAAATATGTAACTCAGGAGTGGGGAAAAAAATTAACAAAAGTTCACAAACAAAATGGAACTTGCTAGCTTTCTAACTATCAATCTATAATGTTGGCATGTTGTGCTTTCTTCCTTATGATAATCTAATCTTCCAATCCTGGGTGAGAAGGAAAATCTTCCTACAAACCTGGATTTTTAAAGAACATACCCATTGCTCATATGTTCTTTTCAACAATGACTTAGTGTGTTGTCTCCCAACAGTATGCGTGTATAGTTTCTTTTCATATTTATGACCCTTAGTCTACGATAGTAGATTTAAGGTGCATTTTCTTTTCGTTTGGTTTGGGTGGCTGGTTGGTTGGTTGGGTTTTGCTGTTGGTTTGTTGATAGTGTGGGGATTCAAGTTCAGGGCCTTGTACTTGTTAAACAGGTGCTATACCACTTAAGCCATGCCCCCAATCCTTTTTGCTTTATTTTTGATAGCATCCTGATTTTTGTTCAGGCCAGCCTGTGCTGACAAATCCTCCTATTTATACATCCCACTTAGCTGGAAGCATTTTATTCATTCAGATGGAGTCTCATGAACATTTAAAGAATAATGTAAAAAAGAAACCATCAGTTCTCCAAAGAATATTTCATACTAGTAGTGTATTGGCATCTCAGGTGGCCTATGTCCTTATTAACACTTAGGATTGTCTGATTTTAGTCATGCTAGTGAGTTAAAAGTAGTATTTATTGTGGTAGTTTTAATTTGCATTTCTTAGTTAACAGACATATTTGTCTGTGCTTTTTGACTACTCCTTTGCAGTCTCCTTTGTTCAAACCTTTAGTTTATTAAGAAGAAAACTTAGTTATATATATTTTACAGAATTTCAGGAGCTGTTTATTTTAGATATGATTTCTTTGGTAGGTATATATATTGCAGATGTGTTCCCCAAATCTGCATTTTCATTTTATTAATGATATCCTTTGAAGAATAGTAGTTTTAGTTTTCATGAAGTCCAATTCAGTTTTTCTTTATTATTACTGCTTTATATGTCCTAAGCTGGTTGGCTTTGTTCCTATGTTTTCTTCTAGAAATTTTTCACATAGGACTGTGATCATTTCAACTATATTTTCTGTATGGCTGGAGGTAGAGCCCTCTGCATCCTTTTCTATATTAGTGTACAGTTGATTGAGCACTATTTTTGTTTTAAAGACTATACCCATTGAATTACCTTGTTAAGCCAGGCACCGGTGGCTTGCTCCTGTAATCCTAGAAACTAAGGAGGCTGAGATTTGAAGATCAAGGTTTAACGCCAGCCCTGGGTAGACAAATCCATAAACCTCTTACCTTTTACCAGCAAAATGCTGGAAATGGAGGTATGGTAGAGCACTGGTTTTGAGTGGAAAAACACCCAAACAACCAAGAGCATACGGCCCTGAGTTCAGGCCTCAGTATCAGCATATACATGTGCACATGAACAAACACACACACACACACACACACACACACACACACACACACACACACACACACACACACACACACACACACAGAGTGACTTACCTTGCCAAAATGTAAAAAAAAAACTCAGTAAACTAAGTATGAATCTTTTTCTGAAGCCATATTCTTGTTTTTCATTGTTCTGATTGTCTTTAGTTCAGGCTAATTTTTGATACTGTGAACCCTTCCTCTTCAAAGCTCTGTGGCCTTCCTTTTGCAGGAGCTCAGGTGGACCAGTCTGTCTTTGAGGAGCTCATCAAGGAGCACCTCCCAGAGCTGGCGGAGCACATGACAGACCTCTCGGCCTTGGCATCTGTCTCTCTGTCATGGTTCCTGACTCTGTTCCTCAGCATCATGCCTCTGGAGAGTGCGGTGAATGTGGTAGATTGCTTCTTCTACGATGGGATCAAAGCTATCTTCCAGCTGGGGCTGGCTGTGCTTGAAGCCAATGCTGAGGATCTGTGTAGCAGCAAAGACGACGGCCAGGCCTTGATGATCCTTAGCAGGTAGACTCCTGTGGCTAGCTGGGGATGAAGCTGGTGGCAGCTGGGGCCCTCAGGATAAGGCCACAGCAGGTGTGCCAGATCTGAGGAAGCTTTCTGTTCCATTCTGCTACTCGCCACCTGTTGCTTGGTCTCCCCAGAGAGACAGGCCAGCATGTGGCATTGCTACAAGTGTGAGGGAAAGGTACCATCTTCCTAACCCCCTCCACCAAAGGAGAGTGAAGACTAGAAAAGTTTTTTAACTAACAAGATTAAACATCCTCAGTTTTTTTCCTTTAAGTAGTTATATGAAAGAGTTTCAATTCAACACATCCATTTATAAGTACCGGGCATCTTGAAATAAATTTATTGTCATTATAAAGGTGATGGACAGAGGGGTTACATGTCACCCCTTCCCTTCCTCTCCCGGTTTTTCCCTCCCACCCCACTCACAAGTTGTATAGTGTCAACATAGTGCCCAGTGAGTACCATTGCTACCTTTGTTCTCCTGTACAGTGCGTCTTGATCAACATCACTCCTTCCACATTCTCCCTATCTTTCCCAACCCCACCCATCACCTCAAGACTTGGTTCTGTTTTTACATATACACTGAGTATTATGACTGCGTTCTCCCACCCCTCCTCTCTTCATTCATCTACTTCTCTCTTCTCCTGGCCTCACCTCCCTCTCCCCAACACCTGTTCCAGCTGCTTGGTATTGATTTTGTTAGATTGAAAGTTAGTTGTTCAAGTGAGTTACACCACTGGATTTGTCCCTTGCAAATACCATACTCTAGTCAACATGCTTCCATATATGTATGCATGTGACCCTTTATATATTTATAATATGAATATATATAATTTATAATTTAGTTCTAACATCCAAATAAGGGAGAGCACATGCATCCTTTGTGCCTCTGAACCTGACTTACTTCACTTGGCAATTTTTTTCAAATCTATCCATTTCCATACAAATGATGAGCTATCATTTTTGTTTAGATCCATTGAGGGTCATTTGGGCTGTTTCCATGTCTTGGCATAGTGCAGCAGTGAACATAGTTGTGCCAGTGTCTTTACTGTATCTTGACATGCAGTCTTTTGGATAAATGCCAAGAGTATTATCGTTGGATCATAGGGTAGTAGGCTAAATGTTGAGTCTTAGATGGACTCAGTGACCTTGAACAGTGCTGGGAGACACTAGGAGAAATGTTGCTCTTTAGCTAACTGGAGTGGTGGAGTCAAGCCCAGTGCCTCTGTGAAGGTAGCATGTGGTGTGTGGTTCCTGGATGAGGGGAGACATGCCTGTAACTGAAGGTCTGCTCAGGTTTCTAGATCACATTAAGAATGAAGACAGCCCTGGGCCCCCCATCAGCAGCCACCATGCCTTTTTCTCCGATGACCAGGAGCCCTATCCTGTGACTGACATTGCCGACCTCATCCGAGACTCTTATGAGGTATGAGAGCCCTGACCAAGCCTCCAGTGTCTTTCTCTTCTCCTGGCAGGGGGACCTACAGGGAAGGTTCCTTGGTAACTTCCTGTTTCCTTGGGGCACAGCAGAGACTCTGAGTAAGTGGATCCTTTGTGTCCTTATAGAAATTTGGGAACCAGTCTGTGGAGCAGATTGAACACCTGCGCTGCAAGCACAGAATCAGAGTCCTACAAGGCCATGAGGACACCACCAAGCAGAATGTGGTGAGCAGAGGGCACCTCTCAATTGTGCTGGTGGGATTCAGGAGCTGCCTGGAAGTCTGGCTCCCATAGGTGATGGCACATAAAAAGGCCAGCTTAGCTTAGACAGGCTGCTGGTAGCTCATGCCTGTAATCCTAGCTACTGAAGAGGCTGAAATGTGAGGATCACAATTTGAAGCCAGCCAAGGCAGGAAAGTCTCTGAGACTCTCTTCTCCAATTAGCCACCAAAAAGCCAGAAGTAGAGCTATGGCTCAAGAGGTAGAGCATTAGCCTTGAATGAAAAAGCCAAGTGAAAACATGAGGCCTTGAGTTGAAGCCCCAGTACCTACCTACCCTCCCCCTACCCCACAGGCCAGCTTATTCCTTCCTTCTTCCTCTTCCTTTCCTTCCTCCCCTCCGCTGTACTAAAACTTTAATGGAGGTGACATAGTATAGAAACTGCATGGGATTTGGGACTCTGATGGTGAGCCATAAACTACCAGGAGCCTGAGTTTCCCAAGCTGTAAACTAGAGCTGACACCTCCAGCATAGACTTAGATGAGATGCTGTGTGAAACATGCAGCAAGTGCTCCATTCAGAGCCATCTTCCTGTCCACACTGGGCCTCTGCTGGACTCTTCCCTCCATTAAAGCTGCCTCCCTTTGTCTGGAAGTACCTCTTGGGAGCTGGACAGAGGTTGAAGACAACATCTGGATAGATGCTGCAGGGTCGTCTGGGTGTTAGAAAGGAAGGGGTATCACGATCTCTGGGAGACGAGCCATAGCATAAAGGAAGCTGGTGTTCTTGTGACCCTGTGCCTCCCATGTCCCCTACTCAGAGGGCTCCATTCTTCCAGAAGTACAAGCCTGGAATTCACCCTGCCAATGTTTCTTCTTTCCTTAAGCTCCGTGTTGTTATCCCAGAAGTCTCGATTCTTCCTGAAGACCTAGAGGAGCTCTATGACTTATTTAAGGTATGTCAGTCTGGGAAACGATGGAGAACCTGGTTCTGAAACAGGCCCAGCCTGCTCAAGGTGGGCTTGAGGCTGCCTGGAGGGCCCTGTGGCCCTTCTGTGGCACTTGAGGTTAGCGCTGGTTTGCCTGCATGCTTCTGCACAGAAACTTCTCAATGGAACCCTATGAATACCAATGGGCCCTTACCTGGCATCTGGGAGGGAGGGGCCGGGGAGTCCTGCACATCTTCAGCAGGACCTGTGTGGCCCTGGAGCAAGTGCTCTGAGCTCATTGAGCTCACATCTTGCACAACGATCTGGTCGTGTGTGTGTGTGTGTGTGTGTGTGTGTGTGTGTGTGTGTGTGTGTGTCTCCTGGGGTTTGAACTCAGAGTCTGGGTGCTGTCCTTTAGCTTTACTTTTTTTTTTTTTTTTTGGTCCAGTCGTGGGGCCTGAACTCTGGGCCTGGGCGCTGTCCCTCAGCTCTTCAGCTCAAGGCTAGCACTCTACCACTTGAGCCACAGCGCCACTTCCGGCTTTTTTCTTTTTGCTTATGTGGTGCTGAGGAATCGAACCCAGGGCCTCAGGCATGTAAGGCAAGCACTCTACCACTGAGCCACCTTCCCAGCTCTGTCCTTTAGCCTTTCACTCAAGGCTAGTGCTCTACCACTTGAGCCACAGCTCCACTTCCAGCTTTTAGGTAGTTAATTGGACTGCTTCACACTGCAGTCCTCAGATCTCAGCCCTCATAAATAGCTAGGATTATAGGGATCTGGTCTTCCTGTTCCACACTATGCGAATGTTTGCAGGTTGCCAATCTACCATAAACACTGACTTTTCTAAGCTTCTCACTTAATACATTTAAAAAATCATTCATACAATACACATACAGCAGACCCTTAGTATGAGCAGGTATGTAGGTGCATGATCAGGACGCATGAAGCTCAGCATTGTACTGCAGATGCTCCATTCACAGCTCTACCCAGCTTCTGTTAAAGACACCCTGCCTTTCAACAAATCTCAGCAGTTCCCTTATCACTTCAGTTAAGCACATTCGTGCTTACCTTGTTTTGGGGGGACACCATTTGCTGTTTTATAAGGTAGATTTTTTTCACAAAATTAAGCAGATCACAGAACAACTGAAACAACTGACAACCCTGGGCTGACTGAGACCTTCTCCATATTAACTGAGCTGTATTACTCAAGTTGGGAAATAGGAATTTTTATTTTTGAAATTTTGTTTTTAAAATTTTTTATTACTGTTTTGGCCTTTCTTGGTCAAGATTGCATATAATAAATCTGTGGGGGGCTGGGAAGGTGGCTCAGTGGTAGAGCGCTTGCCTTGCATGCCTGACGCTCTGGGTTCGATTCCTCAGCACCACATAAACAAAAAAGAAAAAAGCCAGAAGTGGCGTTGCGGCTCAAGTGGTAGAGCGCTAGCCTTGAGCTGAAGAGCTGAGGGACAGCGTCCAGGCCCAGAGTTCAGGCCCCACGACCGAACCAAAAATAAATAAATAAATAAATAAATAAATCTGTGGAAGCTTGATCATTTCCTTTGTATGAAGACAAAATACAAAGTCAAAGATAATTTAGTATCCTAACCCCCACCCTCCAAATTAGTCTCTGGCTATTCAAGAGGGAAAAAATAGGGAATATTGGAGAAAGAGCAGGAAAAAAAGGTATAAAGGTTTTAGGTGCCTCCCTTCCCCTCTATACTGGGGCTTGAACTTAGGGCCTAGGTGCTGTTCCTGAGCTTTTATTGTTCAAGGCTAATGCTCTACAACTTGAGCTACAGCTCCATTTCCAGTTTTTTTTTGCTGCTTAATTGGAGATAAGTTTCAAACTTCCTGCCCTGGCTGGCTTCTAACTGTGATCCTCAGATCACAGCCTTCTGAGTAGGTAGGATTATAGCCATGAGCCACTGGCACCCAGCTTATTAATTTTTTTCTTTATTCCTATTGTGTGTGTGTGTGTGTGTGTGTGTGTGTGTATGTGTATGTGTATGTGTGTGTGTGTGTGTGTGTGTGTGTATGTATTGTATGTAGTACCAAGGAATGGAACCCAGGGTCTTATGCATGCTAGGTAATAATCTACCACTAGGCCACATTTCTTGCTAATCCTGCTTTTTTTTGGGGGGGGGGGTCGGTCTGGGCCTGGGTGCTGTCCCTCAGCTCTTCAGCTCAAGGCTAGAGCTCTACCATTTCAGCCACAGCGCCACTTCTGGCTTTTTCTGCTTATGTGGTGCTGAGGAATCAAACCCAGGGCCTCATGCATGCAAGGCAAACACTCTACCACTGAGCCACCTTCCCAGCTCCCACCTATTTTTGAGATAATTTCACTTCCTGCTTAAGAGAGGCCGAGTCCATGATTCACCTAATTTAGGCTTCTCATCATAGCTCGGATGATAGATGCATACCGCCAGGCACAGCTTCTTTCTGTTGAGATGGAGTCTCAAAACTTCTTCCAGGTTAGCCCTGGATCCTCTCAGTCTCAGCCTCTTACAAAGCTGGGATGATAGGTGCACCAAGCTAACGTTGAGAAGGGGTCTCATGTATGTGCCCCCATGCTAACCTCAAGCCCCTGTCCTCCTGATCTCAGCCTCTTTAGTAGCTAGGCAGGCATAAACCAACTAGTGCCCAGGTGAAGTTTTTCTTGTAAGGTTAAAAGTGCTCATTTATTTAGGATTAACTGTTCTTTATTTGGCACAAAAGGTGGTATTACAAATCTAAGCATCTATATTTTAAAGTATGTGTTTAACAGTAAAGGTGAATTTTGGTGTATACCACACTGTATTTCATAAGAAAGAGTATTTAAAAAAAACTGTCAACTGTTATTTTCTAGTTCTGTCTTTCCTATGAAAAAATGTATGATTTTCATGTTTGTAGTTAGCCTTACAAGTGTAGGGCAACACCACAAACAAAATCCAAAACAAAACACCCAAACACTGTAAGTACAAGATAATTTTTAAAATGTATTTCTAAGGAAAAGTCAAGGAAAATAGATAAGAGCTCTAATCCCATTGTCAGCAGGGAGGCCTCGTCCCTCTCAACAGCCTTCCCAGACCTTTCCTCCAGTCTCCAGCTCTGAATTTCCATAGCTTCACCAGTCTTAACTTGGTAGTATTTTGAGACTTGTTTGAGCCCTGTGGGATATGGTACCCTCCAGTTGGGTTTTACCTTTTGACCGTTGAATTTCAAGAAAAGGACCACGTGGAAATAAATACACTGTTTTATAAGTAACTGATAGGTTTGTCAAGTCCACTCCTTCACTTCATTTTATTCTCCCCTAAGCCTAAGGTGTTTAGGCATGACCCTTCTCTATGCAAACAAGAAGCATCAACTCTGACAAACTTCTTTAGGGTCTCCTTCCTATTAAAGATAAGTGTCTGCCAAGTGTGGTGGCACATGCATATGTAATCCCAGCATTCAGGAGGTAGTGGGGAGGATCCTGAGTGTGAGAGCAGTCTGGGCTCCATAGTGATGAATTCATGGTTAGCCTGGGACACATAGGGAGCCATGTCTCAAATGACAGTGTGCTGGGGATGTAGTGCTTGGCTGGTATGTACAAGGCACTGGGTTTGATCCCTAACCTCCCTCCCTCCCCCCACCCCAACGTGCACGTGTGCGCACACACGCACACACACACACACACACACACACACACACACACACACACACGGGGTTGGGGGTGATTGGTATCTAACAGTTGTAGCTAATTAGGGTTTACTATTACTTTAATCCTTTAAATTTCCTAAGTACAGACTTGTAATGTGATGTCTCATCTTCTCTCAAACTAGGACCTACTTTATTAATGCTGCCCAAGTAGCATGTGTGCAGTATAATACAGACTCAATGGTGTCTCAGCTCCCCTGAAACACCCAGTACCGAAGCATCCTCTGCATGTTCCACAGACATGTACTTCCTGCTGATCATCCTTCTGGGTGATTATGTATGATAGAGCACTAGAGCTCTTTATCATTTTGTGTCTTCTGATCTGTTTGTTTCCAAAATTCAATGGAAATTCACAAAACAAAATCATGCCTTCTTTCAGCATTGTGAAGGAATTAAAACCTTTATAGCCAGGCACTGGTGTCTCACACTAACTCTGGCTACTTGGGAGGCTGAGATTGGGAGGATTGTGGTTTGAAGCCAGCCTAGGTAGAAAAGCCTGGTAAAATCCCATCTTTAACCAGTAAAAAACTGGGCTGGATGAGTGGCTCAACTGGTAGAGTACCAGCTGTGAGCAAGAAAGCTGAGTGAGAGCATGAAGCCTAGAAATTAAGCTCTAGTACTGGCAACAACAACAACAACAACAAAACCTTTTAAGTAAGGACTGAAAGAGCCCTGCACTGCTGCTTCTATGTTTCCTCTTTTTGTGGGCAAGTTCTGTTAATGTGGTGAGTTGATGTTCCCTTCTTGCATTCTACCTATCTGTAGATACATACATGCACACAGTGTTTACATACATATAATCCACCCTTCCCACGAATAGAAAAATGAGATTGTACTATGCATGATAATTATCTTTTCAGTTGATTATATACATAATAAATAGACTTTTTTTTCTAGAGCAGTTATCTATTTACTTATTTCCCTATTTACTCAGGATTTAAACTCAGGGACTCATGCTTGCTGGGTATTCTACCACTTGAACCTCAATCAGTCTTTTGCTTTTAGTTTGTCTTTCAGATAGGGTCTTCTGGGTTTTCCCAGGCAGCCTACAACCCAGATCACTTCTGCCCCAGGCTGATTTTTTTTTTTTTTTGTGCCAGTCCTGAGGCTTGAACTCAGGGATTGGGCACTGTCCCTTAGCTCTTTTTGTTCATGGCTCATGCTCTACTACTTGAGCAACTGCCTCACTTCTGACTTTTTGGTGGTCAGCTGGATAAGGGTATCATGGATTTTCCTGCCTGGGCTGGCATTGAGCCATGATGCTCAGATCTCAGCCTCCAAAGAGCCACCAATGCCCAGCAGCTCATTCTTTTTAAAAATTGCTCAGTCTGGGCTGGGAAGTGGCTCAGTGGTAGAGTGCTTGCCTTGCATACATGAGGCCCTGGGTTCGATTCCTCAGCACCACATAAGCAGAAAAAGCTGGAAGTGGTGCTGTGGCTCAAGTAGCAGAGCTCTAGCCTTGAGCTGAATTGCTGAGGGACAGCGCCCAGGACCAGAGTTCAGGCCCCATGACTGACAAAAATAAATAAATAAAATAAAAACAAAAATAAAAAATTGCTCCTCAGTCTTCTTGTAGAGCCTAACCTAACTTATACTTGGCTATCTTTCTAAGGAATATTTTTACATTGTTTCCTGTCTTTGCTACTTTGTGAACAGCGGTTGGCCAAGCATGCCATGCATTTCTCTGGCTCTGGTTCTGTTATTTCTAAAGTTTGGAGTGCATGATGTCCTGGATCTTTTTGAAATAATGCTGTCTGGGCAGAAAATCACATTTCATTTGAATTCAAATTTATTTGCTGTAATATGTTGAATACTGTTTCCTAAGTTTGCTGGCTAATTGCACACCTATTCATAGCCTTGGTCTGTTCAATGATATGTTTTTCTGTGAGAGTCTGTATAAGATATATTAGTCCTTAACCAGTATATTACAGCCATTTTCTTCTGGGCAGACTGTTAAAGGTCTTTAGCATGATAGTGCGCAGAAATATACATGGAAATTCACAGTGTGCTTAGGGGTCCTAAGATTGAAAACTTGCCGGCCACTGTAATCCTAGCTACCCATGAGGCTGAGATCTGAGGATCACAGTTCTGGTAGGAAAGTCCAGGAACTCTTATCTCCAATTAACTACGAGAAAAGCAGGAGTAGAACTATGGCTCAAAGTGGTAGAGTGCTAGCCTTGAGCAAAATAGAGCTCAGGGACAGCGCCCAGGCCTGAGTTCAAGCCCCATGACCAACAGAAAGAAAAAACAAATCCTAGCAGACCTTTGTTTCACACCTAACACTTGTTAGGGTACCTCTATTCATTCTGGAATGACTACTTAAAGAATGTGATTATGAGGAATATACTGTATATTCTGTAATTGCAAATTGTATTTTGGCTTGCATCTAGGTAATGGAAGGCATTGAATTGAAAAGAACTACAGTTATTGATAACCTTTTCAGGCTTTTGCCAACTAAGCTGTCCAGGGAAAAGAGCTTGTGCAGATGTTTCATTTAAGCCAACCATTCCTCAGTGACATGGCCAGTTTAGAGTGTGTTAGTTTCAGGGACCATTCCCAGGTCTTCAACTTGCCTTTTCCTACTTTTAGTTTTAAAAATTGTTCATAGCTGGCTTTTTGCTGGTTAACTGGAGATAGAGTCTTATAGATTTTTTTTTTTTTGGCCTGGGCTGGCTTCAAACCGTGATCTTCCAGGTTGCAGCCTCCTGAGTAGCTAGGATTACAGGCATGTGTTACGGGCACCCAGCTAAAATTCCATTTTCACACAGGTAGTCTGGCTAGAGTGGTGAGATGATTTATGCTCATGAACAGCAGTTCATGAGACCACACAGCCTTGAGGAAGGTTGGGTTGGCCTTGACTCTGGTACATGGGTCACAGCTCTTTTCTCCTCTGTCTCCAGAGAGAACACATGATGAGCTGTTACTGGGAGCAGCCCAGGCCTGTGGCCTCACGTCATGACCCTAGCAGGCCCTACGCTGAGCAATACCGCATAGATGCCCGGCAGTTTGCACATCTGTTCCAACTGGTTTCACCCTGGACCTGTGGGGCCCATACAGAGATCCTTGCTGAGAGGACGTTCAGGCTCCTCGACGACAACATGGATCAGCTCCTGGAATTCAAGGCATTTGTGAGCTGTCTAGGTATGACTGGGGGGGGGGGGGGGGGTGTCCTTGTGCCTCAAGTTGATTTGAGCAGGTCTGAAAACAGAAGTGACTTGTGAGAGCAGGTCCAAGGAACTGCCTGACATAGTTTTGTATTTTTATTTATTTTTGTGTCAGGACTAGGGCTTGAACTAGGGCATGGGCACTGTCTATTAGTGTTTGCACTCAAAGTTGGAGCTCTACCACCTGAGCCACAGTTCTACTTTCAGCTTTTCTTGGTGGGAGGTCGGTTGTGGGGCTTGAACTCCCTCTTCAGCTCAAGGCGAGTACTCTACTCGCCACAGTGTCCACAGCGCCACTTCCGGTTTTCTGGTGGTTAACTGGAGATAAGAGTCTCACAGACTTTCCTGTCCGGGCTGGCTTTGAACCGTGATCCTCAGACCTGAGCCTCCTGAGTAGCTAGGATTACAGGTGTGAGCCACCAGTGCCTGGCAGTCTACTTTCAGCTTTTTGGTGGTTGAGTCTTACAGACTTTCCTGCCTGGTTGCTTTGAACTGCAATCATCAGATCTCAGCCTCCTGAGTAGCCAGGATTATAGGTGTGAACCCAGTGATTATGCTTTTTTTTTTGTCTGTCATGGGACTTGAACTCAGGACCTGAGCACTGTCTCTGAGCTTTTTTGCTCAAGGCTAATGCTCTACCACTTGAGCCATAGTTCCACTGCCTTTCTTGCCCTGGGCTGTCTTTGAACAGCAATTCTTAGATCTCAGCCTACTGAGTAGCTAGGATTTCTGATGTGAGCCACCAGTGCCTGGCTTTGATTTTGCATTTTTAACCTTTCATTCTGCTGACTCCTCTCAGGACTGTCTTGGTCCTCCCTTATGGAGGTTGGAAGGGGGCCCAGGCTGTATGAGGGACCTGTTGGTCCTAGCCTGTGTCTTTTGAAAAGTACAAGGCCAAGCAACATTACCTTGTAGCTCAGCCACCGGCCATTGTTCTTAATGTTTACACTTGCAGCGTGGTGTGATGGATGGGGCAACATAGACCTTCTGGAGTTGTCTCTCCATAGTGAGTTTGGATCGTTTGCCACATGCACTTACAACCATTTGTATTCAGAATTTTCGCTTTCTCTTTACAATTCTTACAGATATTATGTATAATGGAGAAATGAATGAGAAAATTAAACTGCTGTACAGGCTTCATATCCCTCCAGGTAAGAAAATCCAAGTAGAAAAATCAATTATAAGGTCGGCTTTGTGCATGATGCTGACCTTATTTTTATACATTTCATTTTTTATTTATTTTTGTCGGTTGTGAGGCTTGAACTCTGGGCCTGGGTGCTGTCCCTGTGCTCTTCAGCTTAAGGTGAGCACTCTACCACTTGAGCCACAGCGCCACTTCCAGTTTTCTAGTGGTTTATGGGAGATAAGTCTCACAGACTTTCCTGCTCGGGCTGGCTTTGAACCACAATCCTCAGATCTCAGCTTCCTGAATAGCTAGGATTACAGGCATGAGCCATAGGCACCCGGCTACATTTCATTTAGATGTGAGGCAACAAATGTTATAATTGGGTTGTAGATCACAGATTTCTAGCTCTGTGTATTCTGTGGCAGGAGCTGCCAGGCTTGAGTATGTGTGAGCATCATCTGCAGGGCTCAGCACACCATGTACTGGTGTGATTTGGTGATTTGGTCATAGTCTGGTAAGCCAGACTGCTCAACCACTAACTTGATAACTATTAATGAGGCAGAGATGCTAGGAGTAAGACTTGGATCACTATAATGGATAGTGGTTACTTTAGGCTGCTGTGTGGGTTTGTGTGTGTGCGGGAGCCAGTTTTAGGGTGTTAAACTCAGAGCTTCTGCAGTCTTGCTTGGTACTTTTCACTCAAGGCTGGGGCTCTACCACTACCATTTGAGCCATAGTTCCATTTCCAGCTTTTTGCTGGTTAATAAGAGAGAGTCTTATAGACTTTTCTGCCTGGGCCACTTCACACCATGATCCTCAGATCTCAGTCTCCTGAGTAGCCAGTTTAGGTAACTGTTGTTGAAGCACTCTTTCATTTTTCCAGTACAGGAGATTATATTCCTTCAACTTTATGCAGTGGTGTTTGGGAACAAATCAAGTAATTTTGAAACCCATGGAGTGAGACTTGTTATTGCAGGAATGAGAACAATAAAACTCTTAGGTCTTTGATCTTTGAATGTAGGAGAGTCCCACAGGCCAGTGCTGTGGTCCTGGTGTTGGATGGTGTCCAGGCAAAGTTCAGCGAGGAGTCTTAGAAGGAGGTGGGCTATCGTTTTCAGGGGCCATGAGATCCTGGTGCCTCTAACAGCTATTAGAAATGTGTATAAAAAATTGAAAACATACATGTACGCTATTTGTGGGCTTTCTAAGCACAGCACTGGAATCGAGCCACAGTTGAATTGGCATATGATATTTTTAGGATATGATACTCAGAGAGCATTACTGATCATCCACAGCCCCTCCTTTAACCTTCCCAGGGACCCATTAAGGATTACTTTAATGGATGGTGGTTATTTTAGACTACAAATTGCCTAGCATTGACTAAGTTCTGTTTTTCATGTCTATTTCAGTTACTGTGTTTTAATTTGCTCTTCTCAAAATGTTTTCAAATGACTTAGAAGACATGCCAGTTCTTTTTATATTCCTTATCTGTTTTTCATAACCACCCCCCCTCTCCCATCCACATCTACAGTTCCTAACTAGAACATGATGGATTGTATTTTTTTTCAATTATTTTATCTTAATTTTTTTCTTTTTCTTTTGGTGCCACAGTGCTTGGGGCTTAAACTCAGGGCCTTGCAGTCTCTTGGCATTTTTACTTAGGTTGGCACTCTACCACTTGGGCTACACTTTCATCTTCAGCTTCTTGCTGTTTAATTGGAGATAGGAGTCACACAGACTTTCCTGCTGGGGCTGGCTTTGAACCACAATCTTCTCTCAGATCTCAACCTGAACAGCTAGGATATACAGGCATGAGGCACTGGAGCTCATCCTCCTCATTTATCTTGATTTTTAAAGAATAAACTGCTCGGGGCTGGGAAGGTGGCTCAGTGGTAGAGTGTCTACCTTGCATGCATGAGGCCCTGGGTTCAATTCTTCAGCAGCACATAAGCAGAAAAAGCTGGAAGTGGCAATGTGGCTCAAGTGGTAGAGTGCTAGCCTTGAGCTGAAGAGCTGAGGGACAGCGTCCAGGCCCAGAGTTCAGGCCCCATGACCAGCAAAAAATAAAGAAAAAGAAAGAAAGAAAGAAAGAAACTGCTCATGGATGTAGGAAGAATTACATAGATATCTCAGCATTTCTATCATGATACATTTTAAATATTGGCATATTTTATTTATTTATTTTTTGCTGGTCCTGGGGCTTGAATTCAGCCTAGATGCTATCTCTAAGCTTCTTTGTGCTCAATGCTAGTGCTCTCCCACTTTGAGCCACAGCACTACCAGCTCCAGTAGTTTACTGGAGATGAATCTCATGGACTTTACTGCCTGAGCTGCCTTTGAACTGCAAGCCTCAAATCTCAGCATCCTGAGAAGCTAGGCTTAAAGGTATGAGCCACCAGCGCCCAGATTTATCTTTTTATTCTTGATAGTTAATGTATTGTGAATTACTGCTCCAAATTACAATTAGTATTCCTAAAAGGCATTTAATTATACTTCTTAACAGCATTTATAGACCTCCAGCCTTGAAAATCAGTAGTTCAAAGCCTTAACATACACGATGATAGTGTTTATAGTATATGACTGCTTCAAATTGTTAAATGGAAAGGAAGAGTTGATAAATTATTTAATATTTGAGGTAATTTGAGGTAACTTCCTAAGGCCATGAAATACTTTTAAGTTCATCTCATTTAAATAGGCTTTTTTATTTTTGGTATGAGGGTTGAACTCAAGGCTTGTATGCTTTCCCTTAGCTTTTTTGTTCAAGATTACTCTATCATTTGAGCTACAGCTGCACTTCCAGCTTTCTTGGTAGTCAGTCTTAAGGACTTTTCTGCCTGATCTAACTTTGAACCATGATCCTCAGATCTATCCTCTTGCGTAGCTTAGATGTAAGCCATCAGCGCTTGGCTCATTTAAGTAGAGTTATAGCATATATTTGCTTTCCACCATAATGACTCACTTTTTAATTTGTGGGACAAGCATACTCCTCAGGGAGAAAAATTTAAAGTCAAAATTTAAAGTTACTAACAAGAATAATGAGGATTACCTCAATTTTGAGTTGGTGCATCTCAAGAATTCTCTTGGGCCTCTAGGTCCTGGGCAGGAGGCAGTGAATCCATTGAGCACTTACCACAGATGCTCACTCGGCACCAAGTAAGTTTAGCCTTTGCCTCAGTCTTCAAGGGTTTCTATGAGCTTAGCCAGACAGGTCTGTGACACAGCTTAGGAGGCATTGAGGAGCAAATACCTGAGACATCTGCATTCTGGAAGAGTTCCTGTATTGGCACAGTGGTAATTGCAGTATTATGTCACAAAGGAGCTAGAAAAGTATCTTGAGGTGACTTGAAACTCATCAGGTGCCATGTAGAATATTCCAGAAGATTGAAATCTTGAGTTTCCATTACAGACTGGCGAAACTACAGATATTGGTCATTTGGCACATTTTATTTTCATTAGGAAGAACCAGCAAATGAACTAGAGAGAATGCTACATTGGGCAGGAAGGACCACACAGGGAGATCTGTAGGGGGAAGAGCAGCGCTCCTGACACTTGACTTCCTTTCTAGAAGCACTGAGGTTCATGGCAGATGTCATTTTGTATATAAAGTAGCTCTTCCAAAGGTTCCCTGCTGGTCTCATCCACCTGAAATGTTCTTGCTGGTAGGGTGGCTCAGTGGAAGAGCACTTGTCTAACATCATTTTTCTGTATTAATTCTAGAACTCCTGAGTTCTTCCAGTCTTTGTTCAGCACTATGTGAAGAGATAGGTTTGAGGTCTTATACAGAACCAAAAGCATTTGCTGCTCAAAGAAAGCTTGGTCAAGAAGTCAAGCACATGAAATGGCTTGTATTAAAATTAAAAAGACTTGTATTAAAAAAAAAAAGACTTAAAATGTGTGGATACAAATGCCTTATTGCTATGTAAGCATAAGGTCACATCTATAAAAATTCAAATTTCTCACTTGAGATTAAAACTATAGATTCTGTATAAGCACAGTGCTTTTATCCCTGATGTATTAGATTCCACAATTTCTCATTTAAGGTGCCTTTTTCTCAATCAGAATTTTTTTTTGTTGGCCGTGGGGCTTGAACTCTGGGCCTGGGCACTGTCCCTCAGCTCTTTAGCTAGTGCTCTACCACTTGAGCTACAGTACCACTTCCTAAGGTACCTTTTTCTGTGGTATGGTATGGCTGACTCATCCTGCTTCTTGAGGATATTGGGAGTTTATCCCCTCCCCCCCCCCCCCAAACTAATCATCCTGTTCCCACTACATTGTGTTTGTTGGTTCTTCTGTTATAGCATGTCAGTGGAACATCAAGCTTTTCTATCCGTGTCTTACCTAGAAAATTCCCACCTGACTGCTCAAGTACCCTTCAGAGCTTATACGTGTTTCTAGATTCTCATAAGCACACCAGATAAAACTTATTTTTAGAAAACACTGTGGAAACTAGACTTAGTATGTTGGTCATAGGGGGAAAAAGCCCTACCCTAAAACTCTTGAAACCTACTGTATGTGAAGGTAGCCATTAAAAAGCTCTGGTGCCATCTTATGGAAATTCCTTGAATTACAACTGAATTTTACCTTTATCATTAAGTTGTAAATTTAAAGGCATTTTCCTTGCCAAACCTGGTTATTTTGTAATGGACTTATTGAGCTAAATCACATACCATTCAAATTACCTATACAATGATGTATATAGTTGTCAGTCAGTTTTTTTATTTATATGTAATTTCCAGACCTCTTCATTGCTCTACCCTCTTAGCAGGGGCGGTAACCTCCTGACTCTGGATTTGCCTATTCCTATAGGTGGAACAGATGCACTGTGTGCCTGGCTTCTTTCACTGTTTCCAAGATTCCATCCATGTTCTAACATGGATTGTAATGGCTTACTCCTATGGCCATATATTCCAGTATCTTTACTCATGCAGTGATTTGTGAACATTTGTGTAGTTTGTGTTTGAACATGACTTCAGTTTGGATAGATATTGAGGAGTGGAGTCAGATGGTAGCTGGAAAAGTGATATTTTCTAACCACTTTACATTTCTACCAACACTATATAAGGGTCCCCATACAAAATTGTAAGACTCACTTCAGCTGTTCTATCATCTAAATGTAGACATGCAGCTATACGGAAGTAATTGTCAAGACTTAGAACGTCTTGTTTTATACGTACCTCTCTGTACATATCATACTGCCTGGTGTTTTAGAGAATCTTTCTTTCCAGATCAGCTATGGTAAATTAATAGCATCATATAGAAAACTGCATTTGGGCTTGTGGGCTTTGTATGTGAACTCTCCAGCCCAGAGTACGAATTATTGGCTTTAGTTGTTTTAGTTGCTATTGTCAATTTTGGTTACACATAAAATTGAACTTAAATCTTTTTCTTTTTAGCACTTACTGAAAATGATCGAGATAGCCAGTCACCATTGAAAAATCCTCTGCTATCCACATCAAGACCCTTGGTTTTGGGGAAGCCCAATGGTACGTACCTGCTTTCATTACCTGCACCAGCAGTCTATTTCTCTAAAGGCCCCCAGCTACATGGATAGGATTGACCTATGGTGAGATGTAAAAGCACTCTTCATTGGAATCCTTGCTTTCAACTTTGTACAAATCGTGCTTTGTGGAATTCCCCCTTACTCATTTGTTTTTTTGCCTTCATAGAACTTATATCATTGCCTTTCTTTTCTCAAGGTGATTCAGTTGATTATCAGAAGCAGCTGAAGCAGATGATTAAGGATTTAGCCAAAGAAAAAGATAAAGCTGAAAAAGAGTTGCCCAAAATGAGCCAGGTATGAACTTTATTGTAGGAGAATGAACTATTCGGCAAAATGATTTCACCAATAATAAAGTACAGGTCCCTTTACTTCCCAAGTCCAGGATTCCCCGCCTCGCCACACCCATCCCCTTTACAGTCCTGGAGCTTGAAACCAGGGCCTGGGCACTGTCCTTGGTTTTTGCTAAAAGCTGGAGCTCTACTTGAACCCCAGCACTTCTTGCTTTTTTCTGAGTAGTTTCCTAGAGATAGTCTCATAGCCTTTCTTGCCTGGCCTTGAACTTTGATTCTTAGATCTCAGCCTCCCAATAGGTAGGATTATAGGCATGACCCACCTGCACCCCCAACCAAACCCAGGGTCATGCAAAGCAAGTGCTCTACCACTGAGCTGTTACAGGTGGAGTATCTTTCCATTGGGGTTGTTTGTAAGACATCTTGTGATGTTTACTTCACAGATGAAATACTGCTGCTGAGGAGATGCTTTCAGATTTTCCTTGAATATGTATGGGTCAGTTAAACCCTATTGGAACTGTTTAAAGGCTGACCACCAAACGGCTATGAAATCAATCCCTTTCCAGTAGTCTTGATACAAATCATTATCTTCCTTTTCTTTCTCAAAATTGTGGATCTCAAGTGTACTTGTTCAAGTGTACTTTCCTGATCCCTTTGTAACTTGTAGCTAGATCCTACCTGAAGCAGCTTACATCCCTCATCTCAATCCCAGCAGTTGTCCTCCGAGAAACACAAGCACCACTGTCTTCATTTTGCAACTTTAGATCTATTCCATGAGTGAGACACAATTTTACTTAACATTTTTGTCTTACCTTTAAGTTAGAGTGGGTTCTACAAATAGCCTACACCCATGTGTGCAGACTACTTGACAGCCAGTTGTAATGTACACCTTTAATTCTGGCTAAGCCAGAGATCAAAGCCAGGTTGGGCTTGTGGATTTTCCCCCTCAAAGTCTATAGGTCATTTAAAAAAAAAAAAAAAAATCCCCCAAACCCCACTTTTCCTTCTGCTTATGTGTATTCTCCTATTCTAGAGAGAGTTTATCCAGTTTTGCAAGACTTTGTACAGCATGTTCCACAGGGATCCAGAAGAAAATGACTTGTACCAAGCCATTGCCACAGTCACCACACTGCTGCTGCAGATCGGGGAAGTAGGCCAGCGGAGCAGCAGCTCAGGAAGCTGCTCCCAGGAGTGTGCAGAGGAGCTGCAGGCTTCAGCTCCTTCTCCTGAGCAAGACTCCGTGTTTGTGGACACTGGGAAGACTCCTCAGGACTCGCGGGCATTTCCTGAGGCAGAAGGGGACTGGACTGTTTCCCTTGAACATGTTTTGGCATCACTTCTTACTGAACAGTCGCTAGTCAACTTTTTCGAAAAGCCACTAGACATTAAATCCAAACTTGAAAATGCTAAGATTAATCAGTACAGCCTCAAAACTTTTGAAACAAGCCACCAACCACAGCCTGATCTCAAGCTGAATAACCTGTAGCAAGATAAGCCTGCAGGGAGCACACTGGAGGTTGCTATACCAAAGGATGGACTGGGCTTACTTCTTTTTGGGTTAAGACTACAGACCCAAATTTCAGAAACCACTTTAGCTGGACACATGGATACCCAAAACTGATAGAACCAAGGACAAGAAAAGCCCTAGGCTGCTTTCACTCAGAATGCTAACAGGACTGTTCAAGAATCAAGTTCACTTTCAAGATCTCAGCTACTGTGGGTGCAATTGTATTTGGCTTTTTTTGCACTAATTTTGTTTCAATGCTGGTAATTGAAACCATTTTAATGTATTTGGTTGTATTCACTTTATATGTCCTTCCAAAAATGTGTACAAATCATGCTTTCAATGTTGGCCTCCGAGTTTTTAAATAAGAATTCTTTTTATATCAACTCAGTACTTTTCTTTCCCCTTGTGCTGATTTAAGGTGCAGGCTATACCAGTGAATAGACATGCCAAGGCCCTGATCATCTACATTGTCAACAGTACAGGATGCTAGGCAGGGTCCTTTATAAAGCTCAACAAATAATTGGCTTAATCCCTCCAATTTCCCCACTACCTCCAGCAATGTTTCTCAAGTCAGAATCTCCTTGTGCTTGCTTTGCATGCATAAAGCCCTGGGTTTGATTCTTCAGCACCACCTAAGCAGAAAAGCCAGAAGTGGTGCTTGAGCTGAGGGACAGCACCCAGGCCTAGAGTTCAGGCCTATGACCAACAACAACAAAAAAAGCCTTGAGCTGTTATGGGACTAGGTAGGCATAAGAACTCACAAGAGTTCTCCATTAAGAGTAGGCATCACATTAATGTATTAGAGAACTACATTAACAAAAAAAGGAAACCTCAAACATAAAAAGCAATTTTATAGCTTTATTTGACACTAATTCTCATCCACATTGACTGTCTGTAGATCTGCAAAAGAAATGACAGCCAGTCAGCTTACACTTACAAAATATATAGCTGCACATCCAAATATCCTTTCTAGTATGTTCCCAAGTTTTCTTTTTATGAAGTCCTTACAACCCATTATTTATGCATTTTTCTATAGCAAGACAAATTTTTATAATTATGTAATTTTTTAATTATGCCCGCCGCTCATCCCTATTGGAAAGTTATCAGGAATTCAAACAAGTGCATACTATTTGGATACAAAGATGAACATATGCTAAAAATGGCTCATTCTTGTCTGACTTAAGCAACGTGTGGAACAGAGTGAAACTTACTTTTGAATGTGGTAACAGGGACATAGGTTACCAGAGTATAGAGCTTGTTTGGGGAGTCTTCATCCTCATTCCGTTTTCTAGATAGCCGCACACGGATCCGGTAGGGGACATTCCTAAGAACAGAATTCTGTCACTAATGTCTTCCCTGCAGAAACCTGCTAAGCTCTACTCATATACCCTTAGCCTTGTTCTGATAGTAGCCTGTTCTTTGCCCATTGACCCACTTATCTGTTCTGAAAATGAATGCAAGTGATTAAGCACTGTAGTTTCAGGATGCGTGCCTGCTAACCTACAGCAGTGATCAAAATAAACACTCTTTGAGGGAAGGGCCAATGATCTTGCCCCCAGCCAAGAAGCATGCTTTCTGATAGGCATTCCAGGACTAGATTTTATGTGGCACAGCTCCTAAATCTCCATTTTCACTTGCTGGTATTCTAGGCATTTATCCCACACTTTAACAGTGATGCTTACATTGCTGTCTCTGAAACACCCCCCACCCACACACTACTGTTTCCTTCATGAGGTCTCAGCTCCACCCCTTAATACAGGCCTCCCTACAGATGCAGTCACCCTTGAGCCACTGTTTTCTTTACACTTTGTACTTCAGCATAAGCTGGTATCACCAACAGACAACTTTAGCACCTTATTCCTTTGGCCCAGACAGCTTTGTTGAGCCTGGTATCGATGCGCACATCTGGAGTCCCCATCTCCTTCATGGCAAACTTTCGGATCTCTTTGAGTGCACGAGGAGCACGCTTCTTAAAGCCCCTAAGATTCAAATACAATCAAAATTATATAAAATACATATATGGGAAGTGCTGTTTCCATAAAACAAACTAAAGTAGGCAGGGACAATTTATAATTACTATGCAAAGACAAGCAATTAGAATGCACACTCGACAAGTATAACCTTTTTCCATCTAAGTGAATTAGGCTCCAAGATGGTATTTTTGGCAGTTAATTCCATGGCCATTCATCTATTCAGTATGCATGTATGGACTAGGGGTCTGAAATGTGTGCAAATATGAACCAAAAACAATTTGGTGGAGCTCTGGGTATCTTAGGCACTCTCTCAGAGCACAAAACACACTAAAACTTATCCAAAACCCAAGTCCAGCACTAGTAATCCTTGTTTACAATAAAGGCACTGACCCACTTAAAATTTAATGCTTTCAGTTACATGCAAAATAAACTTAGGCCTGTTTGTGCACATATGTAATCTCAGTACTCATGAGGATAAGTATGACACCAACTTTGCACTCAAATATTTCAAAGAAAAGCACAACTTTACACAGGTTGAAAAGATTACAGGCTGAAAAGATTAAAAACATTCATGAAGCCACTCCAAGTGTGGGAGCACAAACACCCTAGAAGGGTGCCCCATAATCCTAATACTGTTAATTGCTCAATCCTCACCAGTCCCTTAGCTATTTTTTTGGGGGGGGGGTCCGGTTGTGGGGCCTAAACTCTGGGACCTGGGCGCTGTCCCTCAGCTCTTCAGCTTAAGGCTAGCGCTCCACCACTTGAGCCACAGCGCCACGTCCGGCTTTTTTCTTTTTGCTTATGTGGTGCTGAGGAATCCAACCCAGGGCCTCATGCATGCAAGGCAAGTGCTCTACCACTGAGCCAACCTCAAGCTCAGTTGTTAGTAAAAGGTATTAGAAGTTAACAGTAGCAGGGTCAAATAAAGACAGTCACTAGTTAACTGTGAGGAAAGTGTTCAGATACAAGAAAACCAGCCTTTCTGAAAGAGAACTATGTACGAAAATACATAGGTCAGGTAATGTGGGATCAAGAGAAAACAGCCTTAAGAAGCCAATGTTGCAAAAGACTGGGTGCAACAGGAAACCTTCAAGAACCAGGATAGAGAATATTTTCTGACAAGAAATATCTGAATATTTGCAACATCATTCATGGGACACACAACAATATAGACACACAATATAGACAGATGGGCTTGGGCAATAAGGAACACACATTTGTCAAAGACCAAATGAAGGGCCTGAAAGAGCCTCACACAACAATGAATCGGACATTCCTGGATCTCTGCACTAGAGGATCAGATTGGGGTAGAGAAAAAAACCGAGAGTTTGGATTATGAGACACTTGTTCAGCCAAGCAGAAGAAATATCAGATAGCAATTGGTACATTTGAGGCTTGAGACAGTGATTGGAATTACCAAGCATGGATAGGAACAAGGACTGTGGCCTGACATCACATTGTAGAGAGATGTGCACCAGAGAACAGTTACTGAAGGATGAAAAGTTACTGTTGACACCCAAGAATGAACTGTCAGTTATTTACCAAGGGATTGATGAGCATAGAAATCTCCGCAAATGGCTTTCACGCAGCACCCCCATGTCCATATCAGTATAACTTCCCACTTAAAAATGGGGTGAGAAAAGGTAGTTACAGCAGCTTTTAACACAATTGTTTTTCGCTGGGCATAATATCTTGCTATTAAAAACAACTTTGGGGCTGGAGGTGTGGCTCAATTGGTAGTGCACTAGTTCTCAATTCAAGTCTCAATGAGATGGGAGTGACAGAGGAAAGAAATCTTCAAGAATACAAGAGATCTGGTTTCCATTCACCAGTAACCACTGTGGACAAGGGGAAAAAACTGCTGACGAGAATTGGGAACCAGAACACCCTCAACTCTCACATTGCCAAGATCACAACAGCCATGGGTCTTCACCATACACTGCCAGTAACTGTAGACTCCCATGTTCAGGCATCCCCACTTAGCCCACCACAGGTGTCAAGAGAAGGAAAGAGATCCTACTTCACCTTCGGGGCTCTACATTTGTGTCGAGCAATTCCGATTAACCAGTTAACTTTCCTGCCACCTAGAAGTACTTGAGTCTTCTTTCCCTTCGTCTCCATTTAGCCTACCTATATTTAAAAATCGCTTCTTCCAAGTAATCCCATGTTAGCAGCCACTACCTCAGAGCAACACACTCCAAACCACACACACAATATACATCTTGGAGCAATGTGTAATTTCTAGACCATCTGGCTTTCATGGAGCAATGTGTAATTTCTAGACCATCTGGCTTTCAAACAATGAGGCAGGGAGTCTTAAGGATAACGAGACGCAGGGGTGCAGCAAGCCAGTCTGAAGGCCCATTAACAGACTACTTACACTCCATGGATGCGCTTGTGAATGTTGATGGTGTATTCACGGGTCACCACCTCGTTGATGGCAGAACGGCCCTTTTTCTTCTCACCGCCCTTCTTTGCGGGAGCCATCTAAATGCAGGCGACAAGGACGCTCAGCAGAGTGGGACAAGCCCGAGACAAGCCCTCCCTCTCGGCGTGGCTTCACGCTGCCGGGCGTGGATCTGAGCAGGCCCGGCCGCCCTACAAGGCCCGCACCCAGCGTCTGAGTATCCGGGCCTCTCCTGGCAACCCTGCCGGCTCCGACTCCAGCCTGGCCATTCTCCCTTCCAGGATCGGGGAGACACTTCAAGCAGCGCGGGTTCCCAACTCCTGGGAACGCGGAGCCCTCGGGTGGCCCGAGAGAGGCCTCGCCGTGCCAGCCAACACACATATAGGGGAGGATGGAGCAGGATTCCCCAAGCCCGGACCCCAGCGCCCATACTCACTCTGCCGGGCCCAAGTTGGAAAGGAAGAGCGCTACGGATTGTGGGAGGGAAAGTCGCTATCCAAGTACGACTTCCGGGTCACCTGGCGGCGAAAGGCGGGGAGGAGGCGTGGCTAGGGAAAAGGGCACGCTGAGGCTGTGACGTAAACACAGTGCGCCCGCCGCGTTGAGGCGGGTGGAAGCGCGGCTTGCGCCGGCCCGGCTGCGCACCGTGAGCTGTCTGCGGAGGAGCTGGGAGGGGAATGGTTCTGTGCCTCTTCCGAGGAACAGGGCCAGGAAGAGAAGGTACCCTTTACGCTTTCGTTCTCTCATGTACCGTCTGGGTGGTGTGCCTGGCCCGTAGTCTCGGGAAGGCCCACTTAACGCCAAGCGCTTCAGTGAATGGGAAAATGCCCGGATGCAGGCCGAGGCCCTCCAGTCAAGCGCTTCAGTGAATGGGAAAATGCCCGGATGCAGGCAGAGGCCCTCCAGTCTAACACACTAGTTAATCAGTGGTCGTAGTCCAAGATCTCAGGGCCACCACAAAGGCTAAGGCGGGCTGGGGCTCCACCTTCTCACCGAACCCAGGTTTCTGA